TTCATCCAGCCCAGCATTTCACATGATGTACTCTGCATATAAGTTAAATAAGCAGGGTGACAATATACAGGTGTTGTACTCCTTTCCCAGTATTGAACCAGTCTGTTGTTCCATGTCCGGTTCTAAATGTTGCTTCTTGATCTGCATATAGGTTTCTCAGGAGACAGGTAAGGTGGTCTGTTACTCCCTTCTCTTTTAAGAATTTTCCAGTTTGTTGTGATTCAAAGACTTTAGCGTAGTCAATGAAGCAGATGTTTTTCTGGAATTCTCTTGTTTTCTCTATGATCCAACAGATGTTGACAGTTTGATTTCTAGTTCTTCTGCCTTTTCTAAATTCAGCTTGCACATCTGGAAGTTCTCAGGTGACATACTGCTGAAGCCTAGTTTGAAGGATTTTGAGCAGGACCTTGCTAGCATGTGAAACGAGCGCAGTTGTGTGGTAGATTGAACATTGTTTGGCACTGCCCTTTGGAAGTGGAGTGTCCTGTGGCCACTGCTGAGTTTTCCAATTTTGCTGACATAGTAAGCGCAGCACTTTAATAGCATCATCTTTTAGGACTTGAAATAGCTCAGCTAGAATTTCATCACCTCCACCAGCTTTGTTTGTACTAGCGTTTCCCAAGGCCCACTTGAGGATGTCTGGCTCTAGGTGAGTGATCACACCATCGTGGTTGTCTGTGTCATTAAGGCCTTTTTTTGTTTCATTCTTCTGTGTATTCTTGCCACCTCTTCTTAATCTCTTCTGCTTCTGTTAGGTCCTTACCATTTCTGTCCTTTAATTGTGCCCATCCTTGCATGAAATGTTCCCTTGATATCTGCAGTTTCTTTAACATAGTGGTGCTTGTAATGGGCCTGGGTTCTAGGGCTTCTCTTGGCTGTGCTGGGTCTTCGTTGCAGTGCGCAGGCTTTCTCTAGTTGTGGCAGGCGGGGTCTACTCCAGTTGCAGCGTGCGGACTTCTCATTGCGGTGGCTTCTCTTGTCATGAAGCACGGGCTCCTGAGCGTGTAGCTTCAGTAGTTCGGTGTACAGGCCTAGCTGCTCCGCAGCATATGGAATCTTCCTGGACCCAGGATTCAATTTTGGATCAAAGACAGTATTAGATTGAGTTGGGATAAAAAAAGGTACAGAAAGATTTGAAGTACTAGTTGGACAGAGATAAATTGGGAAAATACTAACTACAAGAAATGTCATACAGCTGTGTCAGTGTCACATTAAAGTGGGCTTTCTGGCAAGGAGCAAGCAAACAAAGGAAAGGGGTTATTTTGTAGTAAGAAAAGTTTTATTGGAATATATAAAAATTTTCTATAACCCAAAGGAGAAGCAGCCAAGCGGAAAAATGGGAAAGGTTGTGAGCAGGCAGTTTTCAGAAGGGGCTGACAAACACACGCATGACCATTCTCGCAAGCGATTAGGAGATGGTGATCACAACCACGACATCCAGTTTCACCCTGACCGGGTTAGCACATCTCAGGGGCTGAGGGCATGGCTCAGTGGGGCTGGAGTCTCTTGGGCATGTACAGTGGTCCATCCACGTGGGGGAACAGTGTGACTGTGTCCAGGAGTTGGAGATGCTCATCCCTGTGTCCCCCCATCTCTGACCTCTAACCTGTGGTGTATCCCCTAGAGGAACACCCGCTCATGAGAAAACGCACAGGAGAGGACCCCGGGAGGGGTCCATGGCGGCAGGGCTTACATCAGCAAATGTTGGAAATGACCTAAAGGTCCGACAGGAGGATGGACCTGAGGTTGTGGTCAGGCCATACAGCGAGCTGTTCACTAACCCTGAGTGTAGAGGGGTCGCAGAGCAGGTGAAGAGGGTACGTACTCCACAGCGAGGCGGCCCTGGGCTCAAAACCTGGTTTTGACACTTAGTAAGTATCTTGGGTAGAGTTATTCTCTTGAGTGGGAGAAGTTCAGAGACAGACATAGTCCAGTTTGGGACTCTCTTCTGCCTCTTGTGTGTGTGTGTCATTGCACAGAGCGTGAACACGTGTGTGCGCGTGTTTGATGCTCCAGCCCTCCTCCTCACCTCCACTTAGGTTCCCTTTATCCCTCACACACCAGCCATCCTACTCTGGTCGTGGGGAAGATGGTGAAGAGCATCCTGTGTGGACCGGGGGAGGTGGAGTCACAAACTCAGATCCGGACATTGTCGCTGGGCACCCCCACCTTCGGGACCCTCCTTGGCTGCTCTGGAGGAACCTGTGGTGATAGTGGGTGCTCAGCCCAGGGCAGGTCCCTCCGACGAGGCAGAGTGAGGGGAGCCCAGGGCACGGCCTCCAGGGAAGGGAGCCTGACCCCTTGTGCGCTTGTGTGGTGGTGGGAGGGGCGCCTCTCGTCTCTGCGCAGACCTGGAGGCTGGACGACGCGGGAGAAGTCTGGGCTTGCCTCACCTGGTCGCCTCTCTGGCCTGGTGGCTCCTGCAGGGAGCAGGGGGTGGTGAGCTGGTGCAGGGGGCCTGAGGTGGGTGGGTGCTGGCTGGCACCCCATTCTCACCCCTCTACAGTGTAGGGGGACTGTGCCCACAGGGAGGCGGGGCTGTTGAGGGAGCCCCAGGAACCAAGGGCAGAGTGCAGTGGCCGGCTGGCTCCTGGGGTCTGTGGTACCTCTGAGAGCTGCTGGCTGAGCTGAATGTTCCCCAGACCCAGAGTCTGGGGGACCCCAGGGGAGGCGTGGCTGCTCCGGCTGCACCCCCTACCTCCAAGGTCTGCCTTAGGCCTCCAGCCCGCACTCTCCCCATTGGATTTCCCCCTTGTCTCCCCAGGTGCAAGTTGGGTGCATCCAAGGCCAGCTGGCCTGGGAAACAGAGCTTGCGTGTCAGAGCCCCTCCGTTCAGGTTCATCCTGCTCTCAGCTCGCGGGTTCTGAGTGGAATCTGTGTGTACTCTTTCTTCAGGTGGTTCTGTGTGTCCAGGATTGGGCTTTCCATGTCTTGCCTGGACTGGGAGCTTGGGGAGCAGCAGGGGTGTCTTCCCACTGGGGTTTAGACCCCTTGGAGCATAAGGACCGCCCTGTGCTTGTATGCCTGCTTCCTTGAGAGGCTAGTGCTTGGGTTGGCTGGTGTTCGGGGTAAAATGAACCCCTTACCCTCATGTCTTCGGGGGAGGTGCCCCTCTGGGCTCTGAGGCAGCAAGTGGGGGCACAGCTGCTTCTCCTGCTGGGATGGGTGAGTGGGCGGGGGTCGGGGGAGCCTCCTGTGTAGGGGGCCCGGCTGTATGAGTGTGGGCAGGAGCCCTGTGTCTATTAAAAGGCGGAGGCGGCCTTGCGGTTGGAGTGTTGCCAGAGGCTATAAATAGCTGAGTGTGTGCAGGAGTGCCAGGGAGGAGGGAGGGAGGGGGATTCCTCTCCAGCTGGCAGCAGAGTCTGGGAGTGGGGGCGCATGGGGCCTCCCGGTCTCCCCGAGTCCCACGCGGGCTCTGAGTACAAAGCTCTTGCAGGTGTCGGTGTGCACCCCCCAGCCTGATGGGGCGGGGGGCTTGTGCTGTGACGAAATGGCGTTGGCCGTGGGGAGGGGTCTGACTCTAATATAACAGTGACGGGGCCAGGCATTGTTCTCACTTAAAATGCAATAACTCAAGTCATTCTTGGGACAGCCAAGGAAGTGGGTTCGTTAGCATCCCCTTCACACGAGTGGGGAAACAGAGGCACGAGGTGGCTGGGGCGCTTGCCGGGAGGCATCCGAACCAGGACCTGAATGGGGTCGAGGCCCGTTTTTTTCAGTTGGTGTGTGGGGTTCCCCGGGTGGCGCTAGTAGTAAGGGACCGTCTGCCAGTGCGGGAGTTCCATCCCTGGGTCAGGAAGATCCTCTAGAGGAGGGCATGGCAACCCATTCCAGTATTCTTGCCTGGAGAATCCCATGGACAGAGGAGCCCGGCAGGCTGCAGTCCGTGGGGTCACAGAGAATCAAACACGACTGAGCGACTTGGCACGCACGCACGTGTAGGAGGGTCTTGTCAGGTGCGGGTCCACGGACATCCTGACCCCAGGTCTTACTTGCAGCCGTGAGATTCGGAGTTCCCAGGCCTGCTGGTGTGGGTCCTGCTCACAGTAGTGCCAGAGGGGTCCCCGCCTGGTCAGCCGCCTGGAGAGAGGAGCTGGGCCAAGCTTGGACACTCCTGCTGTCTGGTGACTTCTCTTGTTCGGGCTCCCGGCTTTATACGGGGCGTGGAGGCTTGTCTGAGCGGAGATGGACCCTAGGGCTTGGGCTGCAGGCTGAGGCCATCCCTTGTTTTCCCCTCCCTTGACAATCCAGCTCCAGCCTGGAGAGAACTATGTCCTTCTGTCTGATTATTGGTCCGTCCTTCCTTCGGCGCCTCTGCCCATCTTTCCAGCCTGTGTCTGGACCTGGTTTTAGCACTCAAGACAGTTCAAGGTTTCTGCTGTCAAAGCATCAGCTTTGCAGTCCTGTGGGGGAAGCCTGACATTTAAGAAGCAATCATCAAGCGCATTTGTAATGTTTTGTTTCTTATATGAGTGTTTATTATGTTATTGTCTCTGGGGGATTATCTTTGGTTGCATTATTTTTATACTTTTTGGATGTCTGTAATAACCCTTTAAACAGCAAGAGGCAATTAGTCACCGGGGATAAATGGGGTGATGGAAGAAGTGCAAAGGCCTGTGGAAGTGGAAAGTAATTGGCCTGGCCTCCAGGGAGAGAGAAGTGCCAACATTTAAAGGAGAAAGTGGGGAACGTCTTGCGGCCAGAGGTAGTAACTTGTGTGACACCTGGAAGCCGAGCATATTCAAGAGCCTGGCAATGTTATGTGCTGCAGTCAGGGGAAGGAAGGTGCGGTTGTGCCCAGCACCCCGTCTGTAGCCCGGCTTGCAGGTCTGGCCCATAGGTCACCAGTCTCCGAGGACCCCCACTAGATCTGCTGCCATGGATGCAGTGGGTCCCGTGTGCCCTCTGGATAGGGCAGTCTGGGCTGCCAGTCTGAGCCCGCCCCTCCTCCACCCCACGGCCCGGGGCGGTTCAGCGGCAGCTCCCTCCCCCGGGCGCAGGTTCCGGGCGCGGGGAGGCCGAGACGCGGGAGTGCATCTACTACAACGCCAACTGGGAGCTGGAGCGCACCAACCAGAGCGGCCTGGAGCGCTGCGAGGGCGAGCAGGACAAGCGGCTGCACTGCTACGCCTCCTGGCGCAACAGCTCGGGCACCATCGAGCTCGTCAAGAAAGGCTGCTGGCTGGACGACTTCAACTGCTACGACAGGTGCCGGAGCCCCCAAGGCCAGGTGTCGAGTCCATACGGGCTCTCGCCGGGTCCTAGCCCTCCTGGGTTTTGAGGTCCCCAGTGATGCTGGAGGAGGGCGTCCACCCTTGGATCCCCCTCCTGACCCTGGGTCCCGCTTCCGGGGAGCCCAGCCTCCACAGTTCCCCATAGGGATCTCTGTCTGTGGGGAGGGGTTTGCTGGGCCGCCCTGGGGAGTCTGGCCCTCAGCCGAGTTGTGGATGGGAAACCGTGCCTCCAGGCAGGAGTGCGTGGCCACCGAGGAGAACCCCCAGGTGTACTTCTGCTGCTGCGAAGGCAACTTCTGCAACGAGCGCTTCACCCACCTGCCCGAGGCGGGCGGCCCAGAAGGTGAGGGCGTGGGGGGAGCAGATGGGGGCTGGCTTTGGCCCCCCCGATGCTCGGCTCCTGCGTGGGGTGGGGAGTGGCTGCAGGGGTCTCTGGTCTGGCCCTGGAGCTGTGCAGGTAGGCCGACTGTGTGACGCTGGGCTCCGTGTGTCCCCCAGTCACGTACGAGCCACCTCCGCCAGCCCCCACCCTGCTCACTGTGCTGGCCTACTCGCTGCTGCCCATCGGGGGCCTCTCCCTCATTGTCCTGCTGGCCTTCTGGATGTACCGACATCGCAAGCCCCCCTATGGCCACGTGGACATCCATGAGGTGAGACGGGGCTGGCTCAGGGCGGGGCGGAGTAGATCCTATTAAGGCCAGATCCTGTTAAGCCCTCGATCTCCCCAGGACCCTGGACCTCCACCCCCGTCCCCTCTGGTGGGCCTGAAGCCGCTGCAACTGCTGGAGATCAAGGCTCGGGGGCGCTTTGGTTGTGTCTGGAAGGCGCAGCTCATGAACGACTTCGTGGCTGTCAAGATCTTCCCACTCCAGGTGCGTGTCTGCCTGTGGGGGGTCTCCAAGTTGTCTGGCTGGGGCCTGAGCCCTCCTGCCCAAGAGCAGTCCGTACCCTGTGCAAGCGGGGTGCTAGAGGAATGGGCCCATTGCAGTGGCAGCATTTACCGTGGGCCTAGGGTAGGGCTTTGCGAAGCCTTGATTTGCAGAACCTCAGTCCACCCTGGTTTTGAGGGTTTTGCTTTGACAGCAGGTTCTGCTTAGAGGCCCTGGACATCAGGCTAATGGAGCCGTTGCCCAGGACGCTTGGCACAAGCAGGCCTGCTCTGCTTCTCGTTGGCTGGGTGGTCCTGGGCCACTCATTTCTGTCACTCTGGACCTCAGTGCCCCCCTGCCATAAATCCGGTGCTGGCCGCAGTGATCTCAGGGCTCACCACTGGCCTGTGGTCCTTGGCCCAGCTCAGTCCTGCTCTGCCCCTGACAGGCTGAGGTTGGGAGTGGGTGGGAAGCCACCAGGAGGCGTGGCTGTGGTGGGGTTCAGCCGTGCCCCGCTGCTTCAGGACAAGCAGTCGTGGCAGAGTGAACGGGAGATCTTCAGCACGCCTGGCATGAAGCATGAGAACCTGCTGCAGTTCATTGCCGCGGAGAAGCGCGGCTCCAACCTGGAGGTGGAGCTGTGGCTCATCACGGCCTTCCACGACAAGGTGAGCCTCGCCCCGTGGACCCTGCTCCCCCGGGAGGTGACCGTGGGCCCCACCGTCGGTGGGTGTGGACACGAGGGTCTGTAGGAAGAACGCCTCTTCCTGGGATCAGCTTTTGCAAACAGGAGTAGTGACTTCATGATTATCACTGTCTGACACCACCTGCTTCCCAAGCCCTCCTGGCCTCGTCGGTGCCAACCTCCTGGTGGGGAGCTCAGCCATCTGACCCACGGGTACGGCCCTCCGGGGGTCCTGCCCGCGTGCACAGAGCCGGTGCTGTCTCCTGTAGGGCTCCCTCACGGATTACCTCAAGGGGAACATCATCACATGGAATGAGCTGTGTCACGTGGCAGAGACCATGTCCAGAGGCCTCTCATACCTGCACGAGGACGTGCCCTGGTGCCGGGGCGAGGGCCACAAGCCGTCTATCGCCCACAGGTACCGGCTAGCAGTCGCCCTCTCTTCTCGGCCGAGCCGCAGAGAGGGCTGGAGGGTGAGAGCAGGGCCCCGGGGGTCTCAGCCACAAGCCGTCTATCGCCCACAGGTACCGGCTAGCAGTCACCCTCTCTTCTCGGCCCGGAGCCGTAGAGAGGGCTGGAGGGTGAGAGCAGGGCCCGGGGGGTCTCAGCCACAAGCCGTCTGTCGCCCACAGGTACCGGCTAGCAGTCGCCCTCTCTTCTCAGCCCAGAGCCGCAGAGAGGGCTGGAGGGTGAGAGCAGGGCCCGGGGGGGTCTCAGCCACAAGCCGTCTGTCGCCCACAGGTACTGGCTAGCAGTCGCCCTCTCTTCTTGGCCTGGAGCCGCAGAGAGGGCTGGAGGGTGAGAGCGGGGCCCCGGGGGGTCTCAGCCTCATAAACACGCTTAGCTGCTCTGTGGTGTGTCAGAGGCAACCACACAAAACCCTGGGCCCACCAGGCCCTTCCGCTGTCTTCCACCCTTGTCGGCTCAGGCTGTGGTCTTGCAAGCTGGTTCTCTGGTGCCCTCCAGTGGCCACAGAAAGAAGTGCTGATTCTGTCCCTGGTTGGAGTTCTGCGTGTTGATCCTTGCTGTATTAGAGCATACCCATCCTGTTAATTCACTCAGAGCGATGACGTGTGTATGTAGCCTCTGGAAGACTCTGTAGTCCTGGGAGAAAGGCAAATAACGGATTATTATGAAAGGAATGTTAACCTTGCAGATCCCCTGAAACAGTCTCGGGGATTCTCTGGAGTCCTTGGATGGTGCTTTGAGAGCCAGTCTGTCTGGTTACCTTCTCATCACAGTGGCAGGCACCACTCTGAACACTCTGAAATGCCAAGTCATTTAAGCCTCGTAACTGCTCTGTGAGATAAGTACTATTTTCCCCAGCCCTTCTTACAGGTGAAGGAACAGCAGCACAGAAAAGAGGACTTAGTTTAGTGTGGTTCCCTGACTGTGAGGGAGTCTCAGATTCTGGGGTTCAAAGCTGAAGGGCCCCAACGGGAATAACATTAATGACATAGGGTGTTGACTGTATGAAATTACCAGTTTTGTAGGTCGAGCACAGTTGAATGTTGACTCTTCCATAGGGTCCAGCCTAACACTAGTGCACAGTAAGTGAGCCAGGGATGGCCCTAAGCATTTGTCCATCAGTTATTCCTCACAGTAAGGCTGAGACAGGCATGAGGAAGTTGAGGACTGGCTAGGGAAAGGCAGGGCTGAGCTCAACCCCAGCACCCACTCCGCCACCTCCAGAGCGGCTCAAACTTCTGGGGCAGCAGTCCCCAACCTTTCTGGCAGCAGGGACCAGTTTTGTGGAAGACAATTTTTCTACAGACTGAGGTGAGGGTGGTTTAAAAGGTTGATTTAAACATGTTATTTACAGTGTACTTTATTTTTGTTGTTACTGTATTGGCTCCACCCCAGATCATCAGGCGTTAGATCGTGGAGGTTGGGGACCTCTGCCCTGCGGCCTGCTTAGAATCAGGCACATTCGTTGAAACTTCTCTTCTCACTCACATCGCAGACAGTGTAAATTCTGGCCAGGAAACTCACATCCCCAGCTGCAGTGCCCCTCCGCAAACCCTCTGAGAATGTGAGGGCCGGCCTTTGATGCTGGGGACTGGACGGGGGTTGGCATTGCTTTGACAGCTCTGGTTGAAGCGCAGTCAGGGATTCTCACATCGATGGAGGGGAGTGTCCTCAAGCTGCCCGCCCGTGTGGCTTCGTGGAACTCCACCTGGTGCAGACCCCGCTCCCCACAGGGAGGGATGGGCCCTGGCTTAGGGCTCTGGAGTCCAGGTGGGAAGGCAGGAGCAGGGCCGATCGGACCACAGGTTCGGCTCCATCTCAGTCCACTGTCTCCACAGGGACTTTAAGAGCAAGAATGTATTGCTGAAGAGTGACCTCACTGCTGTGCTGGCTGACTTTGGCCTGGCTGTTCGGTTTGAGCCAGGGAAACCTCCGGGGGACACTCACGGGCAGGTGACGAGCCTCGGGGTAGAAGGTGGGGTTGGACGCTGCCCCTCTGGTGTCAGCTGGCAGGGGACAGGGGTCACCCCGTGGGCCCAGAGGTGCCCGAGAGCCCCAGGGGCGGCACTCTCACTTCACCAGTGGGGAGGTGAGGCCTGGAGGGGGGCATGGCTTCCTGTGCCGGTCAGCGAGAAACAGATCTCCCTTCCCTCTTTCAGTTGTAATTATTAAACAAGGTAAAAATAATATAATAAATAAGTGTATATTAAGAATCCAAATAAAAAACCTAGAGACAAAGTAACCTAAAGTTAAACCTGAGTGGATCATCCTAAAACAACTGCTGTTAATATTTGGAACTATTCTCCCCCTTCTGATTTTGGTGTCAGTCTCAGTAAAATACACGTTATCTGTGGAGCCCCTGGTGGTGTTGAGGGAGTAAAGAGGCAGCAGTTCTGTGGTCGATTACTACTGTCTGGAGCGGTACTTCAGTCACTGCATACTTCAGTCATTGCATCGTGCCCCTTGGAGGCCTCCCCTCCCACCCACGGCCACTGTGGACAGCGGTCATTGTCGATGGCCCTGCTGTGCACACGGGATGGAGCTCCCATGTCCTGTGAGTGCAGCCAGGCATGCTCAGTGACCACAGCCCCTCCCCTGTCCTCACGCAGGTGGGCACGCGGCGGTACATGGCCCCCGAGGTGCTCGAGGGAGCCATCAACTTCCAGAGAGACGCCTTTCTGCGCATCGACATGTACGCCATGGGGCTGGTGCTGTGGGAGCTCGTGTCCCGCTGCAGAGCTGCCGACGGTGAGCAGGGCAGGCGCCCCGAGCGTCCTGGGCTTGCTGGGGGAGGAGTGGGGCACTCGGGTGACCCCCGGGACTCACTTTCTCCTCCAGGACCTGTGGATGAGTACATGCTGCCTTTTGAGGAGGAGATTGGCCAGCACCCGTCACTGGAGGAGCTGCAGGAGGTGGTGGTGCACAAGAAGATGCGGCCCGCCATCAAGGATCACTGGCTGACACACCCGGTGAGGGGTCGGTGGGGGGCAGGGACAGCCGCTTCGGGGCTGCGGAGGAGGCTGTGGCGCGGGATGCTGACAGCCAGGAGAGGAGCTTCACCCAGCCGTGCGGTGCGGCAGGGCCAGAGTGGAGGGCTCAGGCCGCAGGACCGTCCCCGCCTCCCCCCGCTGCATTCCCTCCCTTCCACCAGCGGGGTGTCTGTGCGGGTTAGTGTTCTCCAAGGCGGCGGCTCTGGTTTTGACCCCAGAGAGTGATGGGACCTGACACATGGGACGGAAATCCTGGATCTGTCATCAGTAGCTGGGTGACATCAAGCAAATTGCTTGATTTCTCTGAGCTCTTGTCTCCTCAGGGTAGTATTAGATTTAAGGAGTTACTGAACCTCACTGGGCAGGGACCGATCACTTAAGTGTTTCATGTGGCTTAGCGCTGATGAAGTAATCGCTTTCCCCTGCCCTCATCAATTTCTTGGGCCTGGGCTGAGCTCCGTGGTATCTGGGCCCCTCCAGTCTGGGGACATGTACAAAAGACCCCAGCTGTGTAAACCGTTCCCATTTCTTGGAAGGACATTTGCCTTGAGCGCCGTTGAATCCTTCCCCCTGGTACCCTAGGGTTGATTCAGAAGGACATCACTGGGGGCTACCCGTCTTCCCACACGGTCAGGGTTTGAGCCGTGGAGGCCAGGTTCTGCTGCCATGCTGCTTGCTCCGTGAAACCCAGGACTGCAAACAGAGAAAATTTAGGCACAGGGAGAGGGAAGTTGGGCCTTACCTTCTGCCTCAGACTTTCAGTCTCTCAGGACAGAGATGCTGCAGTTACCAGTCCAGTTCCCTGACGTGAGCAGGTCCAGAGAGGTCTGAGCGTGGCCTAGTGCCGAGCAGGCTGGATTGCTCCCGGATATGGGTGGGCTCTTTGCTCATCTTGCGGCCTTTCCTGGCTGCACGCAGTTGGTTCCAGCGCAGGGTGCAGGCCAGGTTCCCTGGACTCTGGGGAGGTTCTGAGGGCCGTGGGAAAAGGGTGGGATGAAGCCCCCCTCTGTCTCCACTGTAACTGCACACTGGGCTCCTGTGTGACTTGGGCTTTGCCGAAGATTTTGTTGCAGTGTCACTACTCCAAGGCAGGCAGCCCCGTGGGGCCCTGGATTCCCTCGTTGTGTATTGAGGTTCAGTGGCCCTTTCCTGGGGGCTGTGGGGGAGGCCGGTGGGCTCAGGATGCTGACTGCTGGCAGGGGAGCTTCCCCTGGACCCCTGTGGACGGGCCTGTGGGCTCTGTCCTCGGGAGCACCGTCTGGTTTGCCTGTCCTCGCTGAGGGCCACCAGCAAAGGCATGTGTTTCCTCTCCCGCCGGCGTGCAGGGCCTGGCCCAGCTCTGTGTGACCATCGAGGAGTGCTGGGACCACGACGCGGAGGCTCGCCTGTCCGCGGGCTGCGTGGAGGAGCGCGTGTCCCTGATCCGGAGGTCGGTCAACGGCACTACCTCGGACTGTCTTGTCTCCCTGGTGACCTCCGTCACCAACGTGGACCTGCCCCCGAAGGAGTCGAGCATCTAAGCCCAGGACACGAGTGGATCTCCAGACTCAGTAGATCTGAAGAGGAAAGAAAAAAAAAAACAACAAAAAAAAAGTTGTGTTTTGTTTTGGAAATCCCATAATACCAACAAACACATAAAATGCAGCTGCTATTTTACCTTGACTTTTTATTATTATTATAATTATTATAATTATTATTATTAATATTATTTTTTGGATTGGATCAGTTTTTACCAGCACATTGCTCTACTGTATCGCAAACAGCGGACACGTCAGCAGGCGTTGAGGTGCTGAGCTGTGAATGCAGAACCAGCGCCATGCTGAAGAGCCTCGGCCGCCTCCCGCCCTCCGGGGTCCATTTTTCCCCCGCTTTCTCTTTGTTTGTTGTCTCAGAACCTGTGACACAAAGAAACCCATCCTGTCTTAGGAAACTTAATGCTGCAAACTCTACCTAGAGGAACCTTTGAAGACTGTTACATAAGAACACATCTTCCTCATACGAGGAGTTTCCCTCTGCCCTCTTCCCCCTCCCGCCTCACCTTTCCTGTGTTTTTCTCCCTTTTTAGACAGTGAGTTTAAGAAACAGCAGGCGTGTCTTTTCACGGATTAACGGGTGTTGTCCTGACCGAGGAAAAACTGGGCTGAGGATGAGGATGGTTTGGACTGGAGGGGAGGACGGAGCTGGGGTGGGTTCTGGAGCAGAGCTACACTGGACTCGGGCACATTTGGAGCAACATCCTTTGCTGTGAGACTATTTCTCAGGTAACCCGGAATCGAGGGGAAGGAGCGCCTGGAGGCCGAGCATGAACGGCAAGAGCGGGGTTTGGAGAAAGTCTGAAATCAGGTGTGGCTCTGGCCCATCTGTTTGCCCTGTCCAGTTTTTTTTTCACTCTCTTGGGCTTGGGCATAGGACACAACATTTTTTTCTGCCCTGATTTTAAGGTTCGGCAAGGGTAGAAATCATCACGGTTTAGTGAGTACAGTCTTCATGAGACATTGTACTGTAGATATCTATAATGGAAGAAAAGTTGAAATAGTTTCTTCCTGGAGCAGTTCAGGGAAACGGCCACGGGGGGGGGGGTGCGGGGGCGCCCTGCACAGCCGGGGCGAGAGGATTTCCTGGGTCCGGCCTGGCCAAGGCCTGTCTTTCTGGAGAGCCCGAGTCCTGCGGCGCTGGCTCTGCCCTGGGTGGTGACATTACTGTCCCTTAATGTAGCTCGTGGACACAGCTTTCTCCAGACCCCCTTACAAGAGGTGCATATTTGAAAAAACCGTTTCTCTGTTTTGCCATAACCTTGCTCTCGTCAGTCAGTGTTCCTAATGCTGCTGTTTCAACCTTTGAGTTTTTTTTTTTAATTTATGAAACATGCAAATTAAAAACAAACAAAACAAAACACACACATCCACACAAACGCTTTGCTATGTGGCTTCCGAGGTTTAAATTTTGAAAAGTAAAAGAATTAAAACTTCACGACCACAGACCACCTCAAACCAGAAATACCTCAGAATTTTCTACTTGTGTAAGTTTTATTATATATTTTATTAGTTGTGTTGTCTCGTAGTAAGTATATTTTAATGTAAGTTGGCTTTTATGATAAGAAAGTTTAAAAGAAATAGAGAAAAAAGAAAAAAAGTTGTGAGTCTTCTAGGGAGTGCTCCTGTTTTTCGTTGATAACGTCCCCTTGTAAATAATTGTCATCCACTGTAGGTTGGCTGTCTGGGCCGAGTCTGGGCATTCATCACTCTTATTTGTGAAGGCGTTTCCTTCCCATTGCTTTAGACCATTTTATTTGGAAACTGGATCTCTTTACCTTGAAGGTAGGCCAGTTGGTGGGTGATGGGGAGAGGTTGACTGGGGTGAGAAGGGGGGCGCCTGCTCCTGAGTTTTTTTGAGGTTCCGCTGTTTCCCTTGACTTGAGAGGTCATTGTTCAGAATGACAGGAGACCCCACTTTAACCTGGGAAAACTGTGGCCTTTAGACCCCCATGAGGTAGTTTTACTTGAGACTTAATTTCTTAAGCAAATCCGTGGTGGCGAGAGGGGAACTGACCGGCAGGCCTCTGGAGCCTCGCTTCGTGGGCTGCCCTGTGACGGCCAGGCTGGGTGGTGGGGGCTCTGGGCCCCCCAGGCTGCATCCTGCTCTGCATGTTTGGACACGGAGTGCGGTGGGAGGCAAGCTTTTGCTTCATGGGTCAAAATGTGAGCTGGCCAGGGTGGCTCCAGGGGCAGGTTTTTGTATTTTTTAGTAAGTTATTTGTCTATTCCTTTTTCCTTTTCTTTTTAAAACTATTTTGTGCTGTGGTATTTTTCTTCCCTCGGAATGATTTTTAACAGCAAAACAGGCCTTACAGCAGTTGCTTTTCTTTTCCACTTATTTCTTTCAGAAGCTTTAAAATATTTATTGAAAAGTGCCATATCTGGTTTCTCCAGCTTTGTCCTTACTTAGGCAGTGCTGGGCATCTCGACTTTTCAACCCTCAGAAGAAACAAATAAACCACTAAGAAATGTAGCTGATTTCCGACAGGAATGATCGGATCCCTGATCCTATCCCGCGTGGAACACTAAACCCCAGCCTCTGTTTGGTTTTAGATTTCCTCTGGGCAGCTTTTCTTTTGTGTGCTGGCTTGATTCTCAGGAGAGCAAGTTTTGCCTGCTTGGGACCTTCAGGGCGGGCCTTGAGGCTGAGGCAGGGACGGGGCCGTTTGCTGACCCTGTGCCCGGCCACTGTCGCTTGCTTGGGGCCGTGGCACCAGAGTGAGGTGTCGGGAATTGGCCCCCATGGGGTGTGTCTTGGCAGAGGGCTTCTTGTGGCACACGTGTGCTATGCCGAGTGTCCCTGACCATGCTCGTGGCCAGGAGAAGGTGGGCATCTCTCTCCTCACATGCCGCTGGGGCCTGGGGGCGCCTTCTGCCTCTGGTAAAGTCATGTTTGTCCTCACATATCCTCTGGGGCGTCAGCCATCCGGGTCTCCGGCTTGTGCCGATGGGGTTGTGGGGCTCAACCTGGGCTCATCTCCACAGATGTTTCACGCGCTCTCCATTTCCAGGGAGCTCATGTCATGCCTACATTTTTTCTCTCTCCCTCCAAGCTCTGTGGAAGAGTGGGAGCCGTGGAGTCTGGTCTCATTGTCCTGCCCCGTTCAGGATAGGAGGGTGGCCAAGTCAGAGGACAGAAGTGCCCAGGATCCCTGCCCCTTGCCCCCGAGTGTGTCGTCGTCCAGGCAGGCTCCTGTTCTCTTTGGTCACTTGTGGGGGGGTCTCCTGAGCCAGAGAGACCCCGGAGTGAGCAGGGGAGGGAGCAGACACGCGGGGACAGAGGCCACTGGGTCCCAGTGTCCCGCAGAGGACGCTCCATTACAGGCCACAGGAGGGCGTGGGCATGGGCGTTAGCACATCCTGGGGCCGCTGGTCCCTCCCAGGAGTCCTTCTCTGGTTGAATTACTTGGGGTGTGAGGGCCATGGACGGCGCCTGAGGAGGAAGGGAGACCGGCCCTGTGGCAGTGGGGTACATGCCGTCAGCCTGGTGTTCAGATGGCCTCCTTGTCCTCTTGGCTCAGGAGGGGCCCCAAGGGGTCAGCCCTGCTGGGGAGGCTTCCTTACACGTGCCAGCTGCTTCTGACACAGACTGCATCCTGCCTGGATGGGGCGGCATGTGTCCAGAAGAAAGGGACCTTGTGCAGCCTCGGACAGCCTCAGGATGCTTGAGCCGCCCACTCTTGCGTTCTCAGCCAAGGGACAGATTTGTCATCTCCAGGCTCCCGAGGCGGTTCTCCCCCTGCCGACCCTCCGGTCTTGGCTGGTCCTGTCACGCCTTCGGGAGCTGAGCAGGGGATCCTGCGGCTCTTCTCTGTCTCCTTTCTCTCCCACGGGCCGCCTTCTGCCCCTCTGGGTGCTTGGGCTGCGTGTGTGAGGTTTCCTTCGCCGCGGGCCGAGCCGTGTCCTGAGTGCCCGCCATGTGCTGTGTGTGGCTCAGAGCCCGTGGTCCCTGTACTCCGAAGCAGGAGGCCAGGGAGGGGGCTGTTCCATCGGGGTGGGAGGACGAGACGGCCCTCTTGCAAATGGAATTCTGCGTCTTTGAGAATACAATGCGAAGTTCCCAGCATCTGTTGGCAGTACAAGGATTTCATGTTTTTTAAAGTATATAGTGAGCATGCGCACATAAGCTTTCAGAACTGGTACTAGAAGTTAAGGGGCTTCTCCGGCGGTGCGGTGGTAAAGAATCTGCCTGCAACGCGAGAGACGTGGGTTCAGTCCCTGGGTCGGGAAGATCCCCCGGAGGAGGAGATGGCAACCCACTCCAGGATTCTTGCCTGGAAAATTCCATGGACAGAGGAGCCCAGTGGGCTGTAGTCTGTGGGGTCGCACAGAGCAGCATGTGACTGAGAACGCATACTAGAAGTTGAACAGCCAGGCATTATTCCGGAGAACTTGGCTTACTAGAAAAATACCTAAATTGGAAAGCGTTTTCCAGGAGTTAACTCAGTTTGTCTGTCCCAGCTATTTCTGAATCTTTGGAGAGACGGCCAGGCCTGCCTCAGACCACACTCTTCAAGAAGCACAGGGAACTGACCGACTGCCCCCCACCCCCCACCCCACCCCACTGCCTACCCTTTCGGTTCAGGTCAAGCGGGCAAAAAAGAAAAGGAGATAAGGGCGGCCTTGCTGGTCACTGGCTGTTTACAAAAGCTGAACTAGTGAAACACGCCCCAGCTAATGTGCTCACCCTAGTAATGATGAGTCTCATTCAGGAGTTAGGTTTTAGGCAAAGAAACTGGCCCAGTAATTCAGTTGATGAACTATTTGTTTTTCTTCTTAGTCTAGATTTGTAAACAATGAATTCAGGGTTATAGGCATGTTCTTTAAGTAAGATTCCTGACAGTTAATTTGCAACCAGCAATCCACCTATGAATGTATCCCAGACCTTTAGGAGGCTTGGGGAAGTTTGTTTTTTTTTTTTTTAAAGAGGATTTAGTTTTGTAGCAAAAATAAATGGAAGTTTAAAATGCACCCTTCCCTTGGAAATCAATTCATGTGACTCAGCTACACTTGAAAAACAGTTAGTCGGCCTTCCGCATCCATGGGTTGGATGGCCATCCATGGCCTTCCTCATTCTTGGGTTCCTCCAACCTCAAATCAAAAATATTTGGGGGAAAAAAATTACAGAAAGTTCCAAAAATCAAAACTTGAATTTGCCACTTACTGGCAACTCTTTACATAGTACTTATATTGTCTTTACAATTCTTTACATAGTATTTTATTGTATTAGGTATTATAAGTAATCTGGAGGTGATTTCAAATGTGCGTCATTTTATACAAGCGGTTTCTGCATCAGTGGATTTTGGATCTCCACCCCCCAACCCTCCACATAGAGGGACGACTGCAGTGGGTCCAGGAGAACTACAAATTACCATCAAGTAGAAGTCCAGATTATCTAGTGGGATATTTTGAATATTCTTGTTTTAAACTCATTTTGCATTCACTGTAAACTTTGGTTTGGACAGAATTTTGAATTGAAAGGATTTATCACTACTGAAAATTTTTACCAAGCTTTTACGTTGTTGTGACGGTATCTTCCAGGTATGAATGAAGCAGGACTTTGTGATGGTCATCCTCATGTATCCCTGTAGTGCCAAAACCAGTGAGATTTTATTTGCTCCTATGGCAGCTCGTAGCGATAAGACATGTGTTTTTTCCTCATGAATTAAAACGCATATTCTCTAAATGCCAGCATGTGGAGATGGGCTTTGCACTGCCCTTTCCAGGGGTCTCTTTGGATTGTCTGGGCCTAGGCAATTCTGGAACTGCTGCAAGCCAACTACAGGACACTAGAGAAATACACACTCAGACGTGTGCATATGCAGTGGATTCTACAAACGGGGGCTTTTCTGGACATCCACAGAAGAGCGTTTCCTTCGCTTGCAAAGTTTACATTTTGAAGCTCACAGTTACAAAAAGTAGGACCCATTAGCTCATGTTTTTCAGGCAGATGTGGATGGGTCTTTTTTTTGCAAATGGAAGAGTCCTGTCTTGAGCCCTGGGAATTTCTGCTGTGGGTTGGGCACGGGCTCATTCCTGGATTCTCCCAATCACGTTTGCATTGGAATGTTGTTAGGTAGCATTGTAAATAAAAGAATAGGTTATATAATAGAGATAACGACACTTGAAATTTTACTTTAAGAAATCTATAGCACTACATATATATTTAGTTATATCACCCAACAGATTTCTTCTGCACAGTGTGGAGATTGTTTTATACCACAGATTATTTTTATAAAGTCTAGTGAGTTTGAGTAAGAATGATTTTTTAATCAGAGTCGTGAGCTTTACCTTTCAAGATAAATGTACACTGGAGTGTGAGTGGTGTGGGGCTGTCACGGAGTGCTCCTGCGACTTCTCGTTGATACACTGGCAGATTTCAGTCCACCGATGGGTCTTGTTTGGCCCGAAACTCCACCCGCAGCTGTCTGCATGGGGCAGTCTGCCGGGGAGAGGGGCTGGGAGAGGCCAGAGGATCCTGCAGTCTGCTTTATTTACGTGCTTCCTCCTGAGGTTTCTTTTGAACAAAGGGTTCTGAGGTGAATAATTCCTTTGTAAGTTACTCTCATGGGTGTAGTGGTGTGAAGGGGTTTCGGGGAACAGAAATGGTACCGGGGTGCAGATTGGGGTGGTTTGGGACTCGAATAAGATTCAGGCAACAAATATGTAAAACGAGGATTCGGTGATTGGGGAAATCTACCAAACCGAATGATCTCGGACCAAATCATCCAGTTTTCAGGAGAGAAGTTTCCATTTGGGAAGGCAGGGGTGTGGTGTGTGGACCCCGCGATCGGATTAATGGAGGGCTGCCCCGCATGCTGTGTTCTCTGTTAAGGCTGCTGGGAGGCGAGAGGGGCCGGGCTGGCTCGCTGCTGGAGTCTGGTGAGCAACCCTGGAGCCCACGGAGGAGGCTCAGAACCATGTACCAGCAGGGCCTCTTCCCCACATCTACAGGGTTTTCCTGCTCTTCCTACAAAGGTCAGCATCACTGCTGTGATGTGGACGGTGGTCTTTATGGTAGCCTTTTGGGTTTTGGGTGGAGAATGGATGGTTATTGGGGTGAGCCTTTCTGATGTGGATGTATAAGAGGTCAGTCCTGTAGCTAATACTCTAGATCCACAGTTACTGAAGGCCCTCTGGCTTCAGCTGCTGGGTTCGAAGGCGCGCTGGTTGGGACGGTGTTGTCAGGAGAGTCTCTAATGTGTCCTGTTAAGCCTGCTGTGCTTCTCTTCCATCTGGCTGAAGAGTACCGTTTTACGCCACCCCTTTTATACTTGAATGAATTGAGTTTCGGCAGATCCAGGAGCACTCTGGGAATCGACTCTGGGTCCTTTCCTGTTCCCCATCAAAGAACGTTTGTCTGCCCTCCAGCCACACGTCTTGGAATGTAATTCTGTTGTGCCTTTGTTTTTGTCACCTGCCTCCCCCCAAAAGCAACTGCTGTAAGCTTTTTTCTACTTGTCTTTTCTAGCTGGAAATCCCACCTTTTTCCTTTTTCCCAGCTGTATTTTCTGGATGCAGTTCTGTGCTCCAGGTGTGTTAAGAACCAGTTACCTCAGACCTCGTGTTGAACAGTGTCACCATCTGGGTCCTCTCGAAACTGCAGGCTTGCGACATGCACACTCACACATACACACACACACACGCAGGAACCCTGCCGAGTATGGGTACTCGTTTGTTTTAAAGTAAAACTCTTCCCAAGGATTGAAAAACAGGGGCTTCTGGCAAGCTCTTCATGGCCCTGTGGTGGGATGGGTCTTGAGTGTCATCTGAACGGTGCTTCCTGTGTTCCACTCTGAATTCTGCCATTTTCAGTATTCTCGTGTCTGAATAGGCAAAATGATTCAGTTGGTTGGCCTTGTTCACAAATGAGTTCTGAAAATGAGCTCTTTGTAACACTCGTCCAGTAGCTAAAGCTCAAGTGTAGAACATTCCCTTAAATGGCAGGATCGAACCCCCACCATCCACCACAGTGCATTTTGGGAAGATGTCTGTAGCATACGTTGCTGTGAAATTAGGCCTTGCGGGTTATGGCTGTTTGTCATTTTGATGTATTTTAAATAAATATATATATATATATTTTTAAAGAGCCTTTTTTTTTTTTTGAAACCAGTTCAGAAAGTTTAATTAACCAGCAGTCACCACATCTGAATTTGCGTCTCCGGGGCGTAGATGGCAGACCAAGATTAAAGTGGTAACTCAGCCCTATGAGCGAGGGCTGCCTGCCTGGCCTGTCCTGCTGACCGTGGGACAGCAGGGTCGGCATGTCCCCGCTGGGTCCCGACTCAGCCCTCGGAGTGTTCCGTCTCTACTCTCTGCAGGGGCCGCTGACTTCAGTCCCTGCAGGGGCTTCAGTCTAGCTGAGGTTTTCTCAGAGCACTGCCACAAGTTAATTGTATGTTTCGCCAAATAATTTTTCCATAAGGGAAAAATGCACTCATCGAAATTTTACCAGCAACGATATAGATGAGAGTGGGAAGGATGAGGCAATAGCTGGGGTTTGATTTGGAAAGTGTCCAAGTCATTTTCGAGAGGCCGTCTGAGAGCCAGTGACCATGCAGAGATTCTTAGGAGACCTCATCTGAGAGCCTGACGACCTCCTGGGAGGGGAAGACTTGTTAAGATGCCAGCGTCTTTTTCCTTCCCCCCTCTTTTTTTTTTTTTAAGAATTCTGTAAAAATGCAAAAGCAAATTGGGTGGTACTTGAGAATTGGGGGGGTGAAGGTTACCGCAGATGAGAAACATACTTCGAGATTTCAGTTCCATACCACAAATCCACACGATGCCATTTTTCAACTGTACAAAAAGAATCTGCTTATGAATTTGACATATTTATGGTAGCATCAAAGGCCAAATTTTCCATGTGTTAACATTTTCCCACATTTGTCCTTGAATCTGAATAACTTCATACAGTACTGTAAATTCAACTTATATTGAGTTTGATGTCAGTTCTTGTGAAAAGAGCTTCTGCATGCAACAGACACAGTTAAAGAACACAGCAGAGTACATTTGCAGGACCAATTTTGGAACCAATAGATGTCGCCTCTCATTTGCCATCGTAATATATTAGTTTTACCAGCTCCTTCTAAATGTGTGTATTATTTGTAAGGAAAAGATGGAAAACCCTAAGACTTATCTAATAACTTAGTGGAGAATGTGTGTGTTGGGTTTAGGATGGATAGCAAAGTCTTCTTGAGCTGTGTTATCTAACTTGTATATAAAACTGTAATTAAAAGTTTGGATTCACCTGTTTCTCGCCGTTTACAATGATGAATAATTTGCAAACTCTGGAAATGTGACTAGGATATGATTTCAGACAGTAGAAGTTGAGGAAGCTCTTCAAGTGCTAAAACTAAAGACTTCTTGTTTTTGGCTCAAATTCAATAAGTACTGTGTACCAGGATATGTGAGATGTAAATGTAATAGGTCACTTTTCACCCTTGTAGCTATACAATAAAAATTTTGTAGAACAGAAATAGATTGTACTACTGAATTAACAAAAGTTATACTAAAGTATCATGTTTAAAATATATATATATACACACACACAGAATTAAGCTTGTTGCTGTTACCCTGTCTGGATTTGAAAAGTGTGCTGATTTATATATATATATAATATATATATATTATATATATATAAAATACACCTATATATATATTAAATACCTGCACACATCTAAAATGGCCTAAAGCAGACATCCATGTAATTACAGTTGCAAAATGAAGACATTTTGGAAAGAACATTGTATCATAGTTCATTCATTTGCAGTGGATCTTTGTTCCTTTTTACTGTGGTAATTTTAGAAATGAGTGTCAAGTTTGAAATTAGATCTGCTAAGTTGGGGTTTTGCTGCTTAAACTCTGCACTGGGTCCTCAAATAAACCGATGTGAATGTAGTCCCCCCCCCCACCCCCCGTGTGAAGAAGCAGCCACACCCCAACAGAATAGGAGGAAAAATCTAGAACTATTTCAAGTTTTATCTTTTTGTATATGAAAATAAAATAATAATAATAATAAAACCCTGTGGTCTCTCTTAATCACATGGCAGGGGGGTTCTGTTCTCCCACTTACAGGGCCAACCTGAGCACCTCTGTGAGTTCCTCTTGGGGACACGTGCACTTGTTACTGCCTGGTACCAGGCTCCAGGGGCCTATGGCTGACTAAGCACAGGTCCAGTTCTGCCCTTCAGAAGCTCAGAACTTAGCTGGAGATACAGCGGGCATCTCCTTCATGGACCATCTTCTGAATATGTTCCTGCAGAGCAGGGGTGTGTTTTGCAAATCCCCAAGACCTCCTCACGCAATGCTCCCTCACAGTCCTATGTGCTTGGCAGACAGCCCTGAGCACTATTATTGTAAGTGAAGCAGAGAAACCCAGAAAAAATGTTATACTCAGGACTGCTGCGGAATACAAGTGCTGCCATTTCCAAACATGGTTGAGTACCCGGGTCACTTGCTGAGCTTTTAAAAATAAAAAATACAGTGATGGAACACCTCGCCAGATGTGAACCAGCAAGTCAGGTCTTTTGTTTTGGAGTTAACCTCACTAGATGCAAACATGGTTCCCTGCTAATAAAATAATTTTAATCTCTTCTACCTAATAAAACAGGAAAGACTCAGAAATCACCTCACTGCTTTCTGCAGTAAGATAAAAGATTTTTTTTGGCCTGTGACTAGTACTTGCTAAGTGTGGAGAAACAACTGCTTTGAATCCTTCTGGTGGGGTCAGTGTGTTTTTATTCACTTTATTATGAAGATTAAATAACTTGCTTGGAACACTTGGGAACAATTTTTGATGAAGGGAGGGGCCCTTTACTTAGGAACCACCTGTTCAGTTTTGGGTCCATTTTGTCCTTTTAAGTGTTAGGAAGTTCACCTTTTATCAGTGAGTGTCCTTAATCATGAGAAGGAGAAGAAGACAAAAGGCTAATAATGTTTTTGAATAAAGACTTTGGTGCTAACAACATTGGAAGTTTGGACTGCAGGGGCCATCTGGTTGCTTTCTCTTCAGCAAAGGAATTTTTTTCAGTTAAAAAAAGAAGTGGAAATACAAGCCAGTTCATAAAAGCAGGCTTGCCCATATGAGCAAGTAGAAGAAGGCTCGGGCCATTCAGCCTGCCTGCCCCTCCTTCCCTTACTTCTCAAGCACCCCTATGGAATACTAGAGTTCCCCTGATGACAGTTTTAAAACTACTAGTCCTTCATTTTAAAGGTAGGCCAACAGGCCCAGAGGAGGCACGCTAACCAGAGTCAGGCAATCTTTACTTCTGATTCTTGACTCTTGGAACCCAAGTATGGGGTCCACCATTGTTTCCAAGTGCAAGATGTGGAAGAGAAGTGACCCACCATTCCCCTCTAGTGCTTAGCTCTGCATGGCACTCGGGAGGGCCTTGAGAGATACCTCTTAAGTGAATGTGTATATTTATTAAATTCTGGTGGCAGCAGCTTTGAAATCTACAGATAACTAGTGCTGCCTGGTTGTATTTGTCTGGACTCTTGACTGCAAATGCCAGACACCACTAAACAAACAGGAAGCTTTGCTGGAAAGATCCTGGGACAAGTGGCCAGCCCAGCTCTGGGAAAAGGCAGGATGTGTCTGGGCTTCAGGGGCCTTGGAAACAGGGGTTCAGCATTACAGACCTTCACCTATGTCTCAGCATCTGATCCCCTTGTGTTCTGTGCAAAACTAGATGCACCTGCTCTTTGACTACTTAGCAGGAAAAAAGGCCTTAGGTGCCAGAGTTCCACTTGTCACAGTTTTGCTACCTGGAGAAATTTCCAGATTCAAAATCTTTAGGAAGGTTATGGTTGACTTAGCTAAACCAGTTAGTGTCAGAGGCCCAGGGGATGATACAAAATGACTTCATGACAGGTACTCCTGGGAGGAGGCATGGAGTCATGAAACTGTCAAAACAATGTCTACATTGAAGTTAGCAATGGCTTCCTGCTTGGTGAACTAAGGTCACATGGAATGCTAGATATTATGCTGTAAAGTGAAGACCTGTTTGTGAGTGGGAGTGCATAAAATATATCCTTTCTTAGAAAGCATTCAGCAATCTGGATTTTATATAGAAAGTAGAGCTAAAAAATTGCGAATATTAACAGCATTTAACAATGCCTCAGGTTCTCAAAACACTTTACATGCTTAATCTCCTTTAATCCTTACAAGAACCCTTTCAAAAGAGGAAGCAGGTAGAAAGTGGTTGAGTGGGAATTCAAAACTTTGTGCTGTGAGTCAGGGTCCTAAACTACCATCGAGTACTGTCTTGTCCAGAAACTACTTAGGCGGTGCCAAGCTGCCTTCGGAAGTTATGATTTGTGTACCATGCGACTTCAAAGCCACGCGTCATGAACACACCTAATGTGGCGCTGATTTTAGAATCAGATCTGAGTTGGAATCTCGGTTCTTAGGACCCAACTGTAAGCATGTGCAAGTGGTGTACTCACCTGTTAAGTGGGTCTAAGAGGATTTTATGTGCACATACTGAGCCCTTGCGGCGTCAAGCCCTCACGCATCACCCGGCCTAAGTGGACTGCAGGTGGAGCCTGCGTGCGCCTGGGCTCCAGGTTTGCCGCCAGAGGGCGCGCGCTTGCGCTCCGGCCTCCGGCGTCCGGGAGCGCCTCCGCGCCGGGCGGCTCGAGGTGGCGCATGCGTGTCTCGGCCCCGTGGTTGCGATTGGCTTTAAAGCGGCCGGCCTGGCGCGTGCACGCGCTGCGGCAAAAGGCTAGCGTCTCGGGCAAGATGGCTGCTAAAAGTTTTGCTTCCCGTCTCGGAGGGTCCCGGCGCTTTTTGAGAGGCTTCGTGGCCGGAGCTGTCGCGGGCGCTGCAAGCACTGGCCTCGTGGTGGTGCAGTTCCTCCGGAGTCGGGACGCGGAGCCTGCGGTGGTGGTGAGGGAGCCGGACGGTGAGTGTGTGGGCCCCCGATCTCGAGTCCAGGCTGGTGCCTCGGACGGGAGCGGTAACCACGGACGCCGCTGTTGCAGCTCGCCCAGCCCTTGGTCGTCCGCTCTCCAGTCTCTTGGTTCTGCCTCCGCTCCGCACGTCGCGTCTCACCTGCCCGCTCCGTGTACTTCCTTCCCGCCGGGGTCTACTGTCCCCCAAGTACTGATCCCCACACGTGTTTTCCGCTGTCTTCTGTCCTCCCCTTGATTGTTAGCTCCATAATCGCTTGGACCGTGTTTTTTTTTTTTTTTTTTTTTTTTTTTTTTTTTTTTAAGTTTTGTTCTCCACCGTATACACGGCCCGGTACCTGGTGCATAATTGGCGTCTAGTAAGTATAGATGAGTGAACGAAGGACCCCATAGTTTTAACACAAGGGTCCCAAAGATCCGGGATCTCATGGCTGATGATCTGAGGTGGAGCTCATGTCATAATAATAGAAATAAAGTGCACCGTAAATGTAATGAGGTTGAATCATCCTGAAACCATAGGCCCACCCCCGGGTCCTTGGGAAGATCGTCTTTCAGGAAACCAGTCCCTGATGCCAAAAAGGTTGGGGAGCGCTGTTCTGGCAGATCCTTGAGCTGTCCTCCTTTGATCATTGTTTAAATGAAGAACACCTGCTAGCCTTCTTCACCGCACGTAAATCTGCAAGTTGCCAGGTGTACCTTATGTTTGACAAAGTAAATGAGCTCATGCTCATTTCTGCCTCCAACACGCGCATTTCATTTGCTCCTTCTGACACTTGGCATTTCGCGAGAGAGCTACTCTGGTGAGTTGAAACCTGGAGAGGTCATCGAGAGAGGGTTATTTGGAAACTGACTCCCTGTTCAGTAGGTGTTCAGTTTCTCCCACTAGGAAAAGCCCTGCCAGTTTTACCACTGTCTTGCTGCAGCATACATCTCTGCCTCAGTACCAGAACATTGAGGAATGGTGTCAGTGAGGTGATCTTGTTGTTGTTTGGGGTTTGTTTTTTTTTTTTTACGAGGCATGTGGGATGTTAGTTCCCTGACCCTAGATTGAACCAGCACCTCCTGCATTGGATGCCTGGAGCCTTAACCACTGGACTGCCAGGGCAGTCCCTGAATGAGGGTCTTAAAAAAAAATTAAAAGTCTGTGCTTTTGTCCCCACATTAACTCTTAAAGCATGGTGAATAGGTAGGCTGCCTCCCATTCAGTTATATCGACGACAGGAGTTTTTCTTGAGTACACTGCATTGTGTGGTGCAGAGATTCGAAAATTCGATGTGAAAGACCAGTAAAATCGGGTTCTTATTTAACAGTTAATGAAATAGCTACAGTTTACTTGGTTAGAATTATGCAGTTGATTTTAGGCGAAACTAGTATTTTGCTTACTCTCTTCTTTGCCTTGTAAGTAATTGCAAAAAGGACATTACCTGGTTAATGTTATGGTCAACCCAGTCCTTTGTCTTACCCCCTTCATTATCATTTTTTGTTCCTAATAAAAGTCACTAACTGTTACTTTTGCACCCTTTCTCATTTTTAGGTTCTTCGGAAAGGGCTGTCTTGGAACAATTTGGATTCCCTTTAACTGGAACAGAGACGAGGTGTTACACTAACCATGCCTTGTCTTATGATCAATCAAAGCGGGTGCCTAGATGGGTTCTTGAACACATATCCAAGAGCAAGATAATGGGTAGGTGGTTAGAAGCAAAGGTGTTGATGAAAGATGTTTCCAAATTGAGAACAAGGAGGGTTATTAATAATTTCAACCCTTTCTACATTACAGCGCTTGTAGAAAATGTTTGTGTGGCTCACTAGATAAATGGACCCTGCCTGGCTGTCTCAGGGGTTGAGAGGATCTGTATCTTGACACATGAATTGGAGGCTTTGTCACAAATATGGCTGCCGTGAGCACCACTCATTCATAACCTCCAGACATATTCTTTAAATGCCTGGCACTGTGCTGGGCCTTGGGGTTCTCTGAGTGACCAGAGTAGATGGTCTCTACTCCCAGGACACTTTGGTTGACCTAGCAAATACTCATGAACGTGTAGTTACACTTGGCAATAACTGTTTTGGAGGAAAAGTGATTGCAAGTTGAGTTTGTGTATTTAAGGAACAATAAAGAATATGATGAGAGATTATAACAGCAGAACCTGATACTGCTTAGCGAGGCTTCTCTAAGAAAGTGGCCTGAAGAGTGGATGGCAGTCACCCAGGCAGAGGAGCTGGGTGGGTAGTGGGACACGGAGAAGAGCATTCCAGACAGGGACAGACCTTCCAGATGGGAAAGCTGCCTCTTCAGAGGCCTCCATGTGAAGAGTGTTGTTCCATTAGGGAACTAAAAGAAGGCCAGCCTGGCTGTAGTGAGGGAGAACGTGATTTGAGATTAGAGAGGCAGGCAGGTGCATGCGTCTGTTCACATGTCCTCGTGTCTTGATGCATTCCTGTGATTAAGATGACCAGGTTTTGCTATTTACTGTTAGATTGATTTCTAGGTAGCCTTTCTAGTTTACACTCCCACTATCACTGTCCTATTTGTTGTTACACTCCCACCATTACTGTTTGTTGGTTACCAGGGCTAATTAACCCTCACTTTGAGGGTTGATATTTTGTGATTTATTCTTTCTTTGTGAATTTTTCTTTACCGTTTTCAATGGGCATGTTCTTTTTTGAATTTTGTAGGAAATTTTTGTATGAAGACTATTACTTTGTCAGAGTTGTTTTATTCCCATTCCGTTATTTGCCGTTTAATTTGCTATTAATTACAAATTAATTTACCAATTATTTCAGCATTGCTTTATAGTGCATACAGTGTTTAAATATATTAAAATGAGTGTGTGTCTTCATAAAGTACACATTAACCTGCAGAATAGCAGGAGGATTGGAATATGTTTGGCCTCCCTGCTAGTTTAGCTGGTAAAAAATCTGCTTGCAATGCAGGAGACCCTGGTTTGATTCCTAGGTTGGGAAGATCCCCTGGAGAAGGGATAGGCTACCCACCCCAGTATTCTTGGGCTTCCCTTGTGGCTCAGCTGGTAAAAAAAATCTGCCTGCAATGTGCGAGACCTGGGTTTGATCCCTGGGTTGAAAGATCCCCTGGAGAAGGGAAAGGCTACCCACTCCAGTATTCTGGCCTGGAGAATTCCATGGACTGTATTGTATAGTCCATGGGGCCACAAAGAGTCTGACATGACTGAGCAACTTTCACTCTCACTTTGGAATATGCTTACTGCTAGAAGGGAACTGATGTTAAGTGTAAACTTCATCATAGCAAGTGAACTTGATTATAAATTTTAAAAGTTATTTATTTGGCTGCCGCGGGCCTTAGCTGCAGCACACAAGATCTTTTAGCTGTGGCATGTGTCATCTAGTTCCATGACCAGGGATCGAACCTGGGCTCCCTGCTTTGGGAGCGTAGAGTCTTGGCCACTGGATCACCAGGGAAGTCCCTGATTATAAATTTACATCAAGAGAAACTCACTTGATTTAGTCTCAAGCCTGATAAATTTCCTTTAAATACAACAGTTTACCCAAGATGGGATTTAAGCTTTACTAATTTTATCTTGCGCTTAAGTTATTATTTCCCGAGGTATCTAAGAAAAAGCACTGTTTCATAATGTAAATCATGTGAGCTGTATAGTTTTGAGGAGGTAAAATAGAGCTAATTAGTATTATTTGAAAATAGGAAGCAATATACCTGTGATTTCCTTGATTTTAGTGTGAAGCATTTGTTTTACAGTTTTAGTAATGACAGACTAAGTTATTTAGGTTAACTCTCCTGCCAAAAACAAGAAATGTTATTAGCAGTATGTAGAAAAAAATCACTTAAAAAAATACATGAAGAGCCTATATGATGATAGAGCTTTACCAGGCCAATATTTGCGGGAATGCCAGAATCCAGAGAGGATCAGAGCGGTCTTGGTAAACTAAAGCCATATTGCTTTGTTTCTGTAGCCTTATGGGGTGAGGGGGACTGAAGGCAAGACTTAGTTCTTGCTAAACTCAAATGAAGTATCTGAACTATCCCGGGAACTTGAGACGTGCATGCCATCAGTAAGGATTGATACTACTGGCTAGCTCCTCAGAGATACCAGCTGGCAGCTTGCCTTGCTTAATGAATCTTGAGAGAGATTTGTCCACTGAGCATGGTGTGTCTTTTTTCTTCAGGTGATGCAGACAGAAAACATTGTAAATTCAAGCCGGATCCCAGCATCCCTCCAGCCTTCAGTGCCTTCAACGAGGACTATGTTGGCAGTGGGTGGTCCCGAGGCCACATGGCTCCAGCAGGAGATAACAAATTCTCAACTGTAGGCATATTTTTTGGGAAGGATGGGAACACAGGGCTGGTATTATGCATTCCATGGGACTTGGAAATTAACCTAAGACCCAAACCCTAACTCTTGAGAATTTTCATACTCAACTTGGTAGTTTTCTTCCTGATTATACTTCTTTTCTTTGCTCAGATGCTCAAGCGTTTTTAAAGGGGTTGAGTGAGGAAAACTAAAAGCTATGCAAAAGCCAATATGAGCTTAAACGACTCACTCATTTTTATTTTGAAAAATTTCAGACCTGTAGAAAAGTTGAGAGCACAGCAAAAATATTTTGACTTGGAGAAAAGTTGAGGATAGGACAGAAAATGCATCTTTATTCCTTTAGTTTATCTATAAATTGTCTTAAACCATGGACAGTAAATTGCAGACCTGGTAACACTTCATGCCTACGTAGATTGTTTGGGAGATTATACTATCTAAGGATGAGGATATTTGAATGTATATCAAGTTGTATCATTATACTAAGAAATTGTGCAAATGTGTTTTTGTACAATAATATCTAGTACACAGCTCACGTTCAGGTTTGCCAAATTGTCCCAATTATGTCATTTACAACTTAAAAAAAAATTCAGTATCTATTCATGAGTCACATATTACATTTAGTTGTCATGTCTCTCTAGCCTCCTTTAGTTTAGGATACTTTTTCTGCCAAAAAAGGAGAGAAATGACTTTTCTGACGTTGAGATTTATTACATGAACTGTTGGTGATTATTGTCTTTAAGACAGTGACTCTCAACCTTGGATACGCACTATAAGAAGCAGGGAAGTCTTAAAAAATCCTGGTACCCAGACTGTAACCAGAGCAGGTAAATGAGGAATCCTAGGGCGTGGGACCCAAGCATCCACATTTTTGAAGCTCTGTAGGTTATGTCAGTGTGCATGCAAGCCTGAGAGCCACTTTTTGAAGAGTATTTGGTGACCTTGGTAGTTAGTGTAGATCAAGGAAACCTGATGACAGAGCCTTGGGCATGCAGGTCAGAAGCGTGAGGGGAATGAACACTGAAAAATGTGTTAGTTGCTCATTCGTGTCTGACTCTGCAACCCCATGGGCCCACCAGGCTCCCCTGTCCATGAAATTCTCCAGGCTAGAATACTGGAGTGGGTAGCCATTCCCTTCTCCAGGGGATCTTCCCGACCCAGGGATCCAACCCGGGTCTCCTGCATTGCAGGCGGATTCTTTAGTGGCTGAACCACCAGGGAAGCCTGAATAAACACATAGTGGGCAGAAATTCAAAAGAACAGGACTTTTTGTACCACTTTTGAACTAATGTGTTTGTACTACACTACTTAAATACTGCTGTGTTCCTGAAAGCTGACCTTTGTTGAGAAACTCTTTGCCCGAGACTTAATACTAGAATTCACCTTGTAGCTATATAGTGGAAATTTTTTGTTCATATAGTCTACAATACATGTATGAATTTAATAAATTGTGAAGAAAGCTAGCACGCCAAACTACTTCTTTTGTTACAGTCCTTATTCTGATGATAATCCTTATTGAGCTTTCTGTCCTGGAGTAGTAGTGGCTTTCATGTATCTAAGCAAATAGCAGCTGTAATTGCCTGGGGCTAAGGTTTGACTGAGGAACTGGTTGCCTGTCTCAAAGGGGAAGGCATTTCAGTGCGTGTTACTGTTTTTGTTTCTTTTCACAGAAAGCCATGGCTGAAACCTTTTACCTCTCTAATATTGTGCCTCAGAATTTTGATAATAATGCTGGATATTGGAACAGGTGAGCAGGGAGAGTTTTTAAAATGTGATTCTGTGGCAGATGAGTGATATGACAGGAGAATGTGTGCCTGAGCTGTTCCTCCTGTTTTTTGTTTTTCAAATGCTAACAGTACAGAAGATAAATGCTTTGGACTAGTGTTCTTTGCTGGATTTTGGGATAGTTTTCTATGGAAGTATAGACTTCAATCCATAGCCGGCCATTTTGGTCTTGTTTCCACTGGTCACAAGTCAAGTTCTGGAAGAAACGACTGGAAACATTACTGACGCAGTGGAACACTGTGCATTAGGCACAGGGCTCTGTATTTTTCTGTTTGTATTTAAAGAGTTGCTGAGCCTTTTGAGAACAAACCGTTGAACACAACCACGACCAGTGTTTGATAGACGCTGTCTACAGTAGTCCCTTCTTATCTGTGGTTTTGCTTTCTGCTGTTTCAGTTATTCACCATCAGCTGCAGTCCAAAAATATTAAGTGGAAAATTCCAGAAATATGTTTTATTTATTTATTTGAAATTAATTTTCTAAGTGTTAAATTGGTGCCTTGCCCAGTGACCTGATAAAACCTAGTGCTTCCCGGTTTCCCCGGTGATCAGTGGTTGGGAGCCCGCCTGTCAGTGCTGGGAACTTGGGTTTGGTCCCTGCTTAGGAACGGTTCCACGTGCTGTGGGGAGCTCAGCCCATGGGCCACAGCTGTTGAGTCCGAGCTCTAGAGCCTGCTTGCTGCAACTGGAGAAAGCCCATGCACAGCAATGAAGACCCAGCACAGCCAAATAAATTAACTAAAATTTTTTTAAAAGGTAAAGATTAAAAAAATATATATATAGTACCTCCTGCCTTGTCCTGCCCAGGATGTGAATTCTCCCTTTGTCCAGTGTATCCCACCTGTTGGTCAGCAACCATCTCGCTTTCATAGCGCTTGTATTCACATTACTTACTAATGGCCCCAAAATGCAAGAGTCGTGATGGTGGCAACTTGGATTGGCTGAAGAGAGGCTGTAAAGTGCTTCCCTTAAGTGAAAAGGTAAAAGTTGTTGACTTAAGAAAAAAAAAATTGTATGCCGAAATTGCTGTGATGTAAGGTAAGAAGGAATCTTTATCTATGAAATTGTGAAGAAAACACTCGTGCTAGTTTTGCTGTTGCATCTCAAGCAGCATAAATTACAGCCACTAAGTATAAGGGCTTAGTTTAGATGGATGAATTTGTACAGTAAGATATTTTCAGAGAGACTACACCCATATAACTTTTATTATAGCATGCTGTTATAATTGTTCTATTTTATTATTGGATCTTACCATGTTTAGTTTATAAATTTAACTTTATCATGGATATATGTGTATAGGAAAAAACAGTATAAATAGGATTTGGTACTGTCTGCAATTTCAGGAATTCACTGAGGGTCTTGGAATGTATTCTCTATGGATGAGGAACTATTGTATAAAATCATCTGGGCGTTCTCTATTTTTTCAGATGCTTTCATTCAGTTATGTCAGGGGGTCTTTTAACTATTTAAAACTAATACTAATATTTCATTTTACGCTACTAATGATATTTCATTTCACACTACTAATATTTCATTGCTATTAATACAGTGTGACAGTATTTAAGAAATGCTAGGATAAACCTGATTGTCCTACAATGGATGTAGTTACATAAAAAATATCAACTTGTTGAAATGATACATAATTCTTGAATAAAGTTTGAGAACTACTGGCATAGAAAAATAAGGGAGGAAGCAAAACAAAATTGCAGTCGTAAACTTTTCATTGAATGGACACACAGGAAAATGTAGATAGTTGTATAAATGCATGTGTTTTTTTAAAGTTTTTTCATACAGCAAACTGGGAAGAACGTTGCTTATTTGCTTCTTAGTGTTTTATGCCATATTCACCTGTTTACATTAATTTCTGTAATTCAGTATTCTTGTAACCGCTCCTAAGGACTTGATAGGGTTTGCTGCTTTTCTGCATTTGGGTTTGAGACAATCACATATCTTTTTGCTTTCTGTTTTTCAGAATAGAAATGTACTGTCGAGAACTGACAGAGAGGTTTGAGGATGTTTGGATCGTGTCTGGACCCCTGACCTTACCTCAGACTGGAAGTGATGGAAAGAAAACAGTTAGTTACCAGGTGGGAACATGTTTTAACATTTAGGTTTATGTGCATGAGATTATAATCTCATTCTGTATTGTACTTTTTAGAATTATTATTTTAAAAAATATTTATTTATTTGACTGCACGGAGCCTTGGTTGCTACATGCGGGATGTTTAGTTGCTGCAGGCAGGATCTAGTTCCCTGACCAGGGATTGAACCCAGGCTCCCTGCCTCGGGAGCTCAGAGTCTTAGCCACTGGACCACCAGGGAAGTCTCTGTATTCAACTTTTTAGTTTCATTTATTCACAAGGATTTATTGAGCAGTTGGAATGATAGGCATAGAGGATATAATGATGGGTTAAAAAGCAACCATTGACTTCCTTAAGAAGTGCACAGAAAAGGAGACAGACATGTTATCAGCTAATTATGTTACAGTGTGAGCTGATGTATACATGCATAGATGGAGTGGTGTCAAAAAGAAGTGACCAGCCGTATTTGCAAGGGTAAGGAAGACTTCACAGAGGAGGGGATTTATTTATTTTTCTTTGGCCTGTGGGATCTTAGTTCCCTGCCCAGGGATTGAACTCTAGCTCCTTCATTGGAAGCACCGTCTCAACCACTGGACTGCCAAGGAAGTCCCCCGAGGAGGCGATTTTTGAGCTAGATCTTGATGGAGAAATAAGAGTGAACAGAGGCAGGAGGGGAGCATGGGAACTCCAGAAGATGGAGCGGTGTGAGCTCAGAACACTTAGGATCAACAGCAGAGTTGTGGGATTTAGGTATCGTTCTAGATATGGGCTGGACTCAAGCAGGTGGAGTGAGGAAAAATTGAGAACTACAGTAAAGACTAGTCACGAATTCACTTTTTGGGGTGAAGAAGAGGGAAACGTTGAGGAAGGCCTCCAGCTTGCAGTTATTAATAGTTGAATACGTGCTCAGGCACTCAGTCGTGTCTGACTCTTTGTGACCCCATGGACTGCAGCCTACCAGGCTCCTCTGTCCATGGGATTTCCCAGGCAAGAATACTGGCGTGGGTTGCTGTTTCCTTCTTCAGGGGATCTTCTCAACCCAGGGATGGAACTCAACGTCTCCTGCGGCTCCTGCTCTGTAGGCAGATTCTTTACCGTTGAGCCCAACCTGGGAAGCCCAGTTAGTTGAATAAATGGGAGGAAAAGCTTTTCTTTTAGATGCTTGGATTTTTTTTTTTTAAAGGTGAAAAAAAAATTTTTTTTAAACATGCATGATATTTGAGAACTTTATGGATTAAAGGAAAGGGAGAATATGCCAGTATGATTAGTGGTGGGAGAGAGGCAGACCGCTCCTGCTGATGGGTAAGATGAAGGATTCTGCCACGAGGGTGGCTGAGTTGATGTACGAAGTGGGGTAAGGAGGAATAAGAGAAGTGGTCGAGTCAGTAAACCGAGATTGAAGGACTTCTGGAAAGGCAAAGAGTGGGTGTGTTTGGAGGGAACAGATGTTTGGTAGATGCCGCCTGTTAGGTTACATAGTTACTTAAGGGGGTCTCTGATAAAACTGAACGACCTGAGAAACAGATGGGAAAATAAAAACAACTTTAGGGTATATGCTGTCCCCCGTGACTGGCTTTTGATCAGCCTGTCTGGCTCTGAGGAGCAGTGATGTGTGGGTCTGTAAGGTGTCCACAGAGGTGCTCACACCCTCAGAGTGTTCCAGAAGTGCTTGTGGGAGTGAAGGAGTAGCAACAGAGACTTCCTGATAAACTGTACCTGTGGTGTGTCACGCCGAGAAGGACACAGTATCACCTCTGGTATTTCTGCCCAAGATGCATACTGTTGAGTGTCGTCATGCAGAAGTATTAGGCAAACCCCAACTGAAGGGCATGCCGTGAAATAGCTGACTCACATTCTTCAAAAATGTTAGTGTCTTCCAAGACAGAGGCATGTCCTCAAAGACAGAGGCTTGAGATAGTAACGGTTCAAGATGAATGGAGACTAAAGACTAAAATACATGAAATAAAATGCATTGTGTTATCTTAGATCAGATCCTAGATCAGAAAAACAAAAGTTGCTGAATAAGACTTTATTTGGACAATTGGTAACATTTAAGGTATGTAGGTTAGATAATTATATTTTATCAGTGTTAAATTTCCTGACTTTGATTATTGTACTTTGATTATGTAAGTGAATGTCTTTGCTCTTAATAAATACAAAAGGTTTAGGGAAAAAAAAAACATAGAAAATGGTTGAGTGATAAATGGAATTGGGCAAAATGTTCAGAGTTGATGAATCCAGGTGAAGGGTGTACAAGTGTTTCATATGCCATCCTTACACATTTTAAATTTGCAATTCAGAATGAAGCAAATGTATATACCTCTTTAGAACATCTTTTGTATACCAGAATCCTATTACACTGGGTTATACAAAATTAACCACTAGAAAGACTTAACCTTGCTTTTCCTACTAAATAGTCGATCAGTGAATGCCTTACAGGCATGTATAGGTATTCTCAAAGAGCTTTAGAAGAGAATTAGTGTCATGGTGATGAATGTGTGAGGGCAGTCACGCTGAGCTTCTGGAGGAGTGTACTCTGAGTAACAGTCTTGTTTTTTTGTTTTAAAGCATTATCAGTCTTAGGCCTTTTCTTTCAGATTCAGGGCCTCTGAACGTGTGACATTAGTTTTCCATGTCTGTAGTAATTGATAGAACCTATTCATGTTCACCTGGCAGATCTTTTAATTCAGCAAATCTTTAAGTACTTGTCACGTGGGAGGAATGTATGTGGAATTATAAATGACATGCTTCAAACTGTGTTCTTGGATACTTTTCCCCTTCTTTCCTCTCTTTCACATCATGGAAGTCATCTCTCTCTCTCTCAATGTCTTTGAGTCAACAACTTTTATCCGTTCTTTTACTTAATAACTTGTACTCAGATTTTGCTGGAGCTCTGAACACCTGCAGTGTTGTGGAGGCCTCCCACAACATTACAGGGCACAGCAGGTGTATTCTTAACCGCTGGACTGCCAGGGAAGCCCAGCATCATTTTTGAGATCAAACTTGACTTCAGGTGGAATTTTACATTTAAAAATCTTTAGTGTATTTATTAGCATGAAAGGAAAATATGATCCGTTAGTAAATTAAATTAGAAAAATTGTCTCAGAGCTCCCCATTTTAAGAATTGCATTGGGCTAAAAATATATGTATGCATACACATCTATACACGTATAAACTTGGGTGAATTTGGCGATGGGAAACAGACATGGGAGGCAAAGCTAGGCAAGCGGAAGAGGCAGGAGAAAGTAGGATGTATGCTCAGAAAGAGTAGGTCCCTCAGACATCTGACTTAGAGCACTTGTCTAGGGAAGAAGACAAAAATGAAAGGATAAATAACAAGGCCCTGCTGGATGGCTCAGAGAACTGTATTAAATATCTTATTATGACTATAATAGAGAGGAATCTGAAAAAGAATATGTGTGTGTACACCTGAAACAAATACATTATAAATCAACTACACTTCAAAAAAAAGTTTTAAAAAAATTAAAAAAAAAAAAAAGTAAGATTTGTATCAGGTGCAAATGCTCACCCTGAATGCCCAACTGAAAATTCAGGTGATTTTCCGGCAATTTGTAATAAAACCATTGTGGGTAAAACCATGTCCTTAAGAGATGCTAAGAAAGGGGACATGGCATCGCCCAGCTCTTGAAGTGGGTCTGTTCCTCTCAAGGAATAAATACGTATTTGAATCATGGATCCTGTTTCCCAGGGAATGCTTTGCACCTATGTATGGAAGTTCATGTTTTGTTTTCTTAAATCCATCCATTTAGTATTTCCTTCTTGTTTACAACTATACTCTGAACTTATTTTAGTAGAACATAGCTAATAAAAATAATGTATTTGTTTACTTTTCTATCTAGTGATGAAGCTTTATGTGTATCTAGTATGTGCACTTTAGAGGCAGTGGAGCAGATGACCTGGGATTTATCAAGGGCCTTGTATAACTCCCGGTACGTGTGTAGCTTTGTTCATGCTATCCCGGTCAGTCCTTGCAAACAGCTCTTACAAACAGGCAGTGATTACCTTTTTTATTGGAGGAAATTGAGGTTTCAAGGGGTCACGTCCCAGTGACATTGCTAGTAACTGTCAAGGGGGAAGTCCAAACGTGGGTCTCTCTCCTTGTATGAGAATTGCCCGTCACTCACAGCATTGTTCTTTAAGCTCTCAAAAGTCTCCAGTGAAGGGTTGGCTGTGCTCTTCATATATAGAAACTTAAGACCGGGAGGTAAAACACAGTGTGGATGGAGAGCAGTTACAAGTGATAGTTGCTGGCATGCAAAAATAAGGGCAGAAAATGGGCCAAGAGGAGGATTCCTTCTAGCCAGGCAGAAATGTCTGCTGGAATACGTAGGAAAGAACTGCAGAGTCATAGGACTGGAGTGACCGTGAGCCCGAGGGAAGATGAGAGGCAGTGATTTTATCAGAAGTGAGTCATCTGACAGCTCTAATCACAATCATCCCCTTTATTATAGCTTAGGTTAGCCATGTGCCTATTTCAAGAAGAGATAGAATCCAGGTAAATGAAACATACCTGAATATTCCAGCCCGAACATTGTAATTGTCCTGGCAAGAAAGTGAGCTTTAGATTTGACGGCTCGGCCGTGGTGGAGTTGTCCTGTGAGAAGTACTTAATGGTCTTTTTTTCTTCTACAGCATTATCCAGACTTCCACTAATTCCAGGAGGGGGAGGAAATTGAAAATAATGCCTTCAGGGATTTCGAGGCATCAGCTGATGTGATCAGCAATTATTTTTTTAAATCTATTTTAGCTTTATGCAGTCTTAATTTCTATATCTATTTAATTGAAATCAGCTCTTTTATTGGATAAATATTTCCTTATGGAACTTCCCTGGGTGGATCCAGTGGTTAAGACTCCCATGTTTCCAATGCAGGGGGCACGGGTTCAGTCCCTGATGGGGGAACTAGGATCCTGCATGCCATGTGATGAGGCCAAAATAAATAAATAATAATAATAAAGTCTTGGGAACTTCCTGGTGGTCTAGTAGTTAGGGCTCAGCGCTTTCACTGCCACAGGCTGGGGTCAAAAAGTAAATAAAAATAAAAGTCTTATTTAAAAAGCAGGCAAATCTATAAATATATATATTTCCTTACCCCCATCCTAAATCACTCAGCAGAAGTGACCGTCTGGGAAGATGTGCTTGCTTCACTGGCTTGGCATCTCCCGCCCCCTCGCAGGGTGGGTGCCCAGTGTGAGAAGGACGGTCTCCCGGGGTTTGAGCGTCCGAAGTGGCTTCACAGGTAGCACACGGGGCGGCCACACCCCTGTTGACTCCCCACCCCGTGACGCTCTTGCTTCTTGTCCCTCTGTCCGCTCAGGTCAGGATTCCCTGTTTATCACACCATCAGGTCTCTCTCGTTCACTTGATTAGTCTGACTTTGTTTTAAGGGCTTCATTTTTTGATGTGTCTAACAGTTTTATTTTTGGAATGTCTTTTTATTGTCTTACAGAGGGAATGTAACCAGATACATTACATCTGTCTGAGTCTTGCAGGTACATGTTTTTTCCGCGTGATGCTGTGCTTATGACATGAGAGAGCAGGTTTAGTCCGGGTGGTGTTGTCCCCAGTCTCTCTGCACAGAGTCAGAGTGGAGTTAGTTGGGGGTGAGACGGGGGAGCAAATTGTCATCTCCAGCTCTTGGGTGAGAAGAAACAAGACAGGCCGGCAGGTATGGAAACTTGGCTCAGGTCGTAAGCGAGTGCCAACTTTCTGATTGTTATATATATAGTATTTTCTTGTCACTCCCGGTTGATTTCCAGTTTTCATTACAGCCTTGACATGAGTTCAGTGCTTTTTGGTAATGTAACAACACCAAGAATTTCCTTTGTAAAGTATTTTTATACCTAAATATTATATGAAAAGTACTACTGCTAATTTACTGATAGATCGGTTAAGCCTTTGGGTCGTTTGTTTAGGGCATCATTTGTGTCCAGCCTACTTTCTTCTCCTGAAACCCTTTTGTCCACCTTGAACTGATCTCATCTTGCTTAATCCCACGTTTCCCCTGTCCCAGTGCAGAACCATCTTTTGTGCCAAATGCAGTTGCATTCCTGTCTCTTGAATGATGTCTACTACAAAAACATCTTTTTACATAGGCCTTGCAGAGTTCAAAGTAATTTTTCCTATTTTTTTAAACTAAAGTGTCTTTGTGTCTACAGAACTATTGAGAGATGGACTGCTTGGGGATTGTTACTAGTCATTTTATGAATGAAAAAAGAAGATGCTGTGACTTGCAACTTAGTGCAGGGCCTTAGGTCTCTGGGGTTTCAATTTGCTGAACTGTTCTGTTTTGGTGCCCTGTTTTCTAGAAACATCTTCTGAAAATCTTCAGGTTTTCCTGAAAATGGGAAGAATTTATCTTGTTGGTTGAGTTGCCTACAAAGAAGTTTTAAAATATTTTGTTTTTGTTTTTAAGTTTTAAATTCAGTGAAGAAACAATGAGTTTTCTGAGTTTCCAAATAATACTGTATCAGACCTGGGTGTTCATTGGAAGGACTGGTGTTGAAGCTGAAACTCCAATACTTTGGCCCCCCCAAATGCTGACTCATTTGAAAAGACCCTGATGCTGGGAAAGATTGAGGGCAGGAGGAGAAGGGGATGATGGAGGATAAGATGGTTGGATGGCATCACCAACTCGGTGGACATGAGTTTGAGTAAACTCCAGGAGTTGGTGATGGAAGGGAGGCCTGGCATGCTGCGGTTCATGGGGTCGCGTGGTCGGACACAACTGAGCAACTGAACTGAACTGTATTAGGCAGGTTAAAGATGTTTACTTTCTGAGAACAAAGCAGACTGAATCAGAGCAGATAGTGGCTAAGTTTCTATTTTTCTCTTTATTTCAGGGAAGTATATTTTACCCCGCTTTTGTTGAAATATTGAGAGAAGATCATGAGTGGAAGTCATACTTTGTGGTTCTTCATAGGAATTCCTGTGTCCATGCAGGTTCTCAAAAGCAGTTTTGGAGGTTCCCTAGCTGTGTGAATTTTTGAAAATCTAATAGAAATGATAGATTTCCATGAGTTTAAACAATGAATCTTAAAATGTCAAGCTTCTTTACTTTTGCCTAGAATTTAATGAACCAGGCTGATTAGAAGCCCTGGTTGGCAGCACACGGGCATGACCTCTTAATTATTTTTGAGAGTTGTCATTTGTGAGTGTAAACAAGGAGTCCATGAGGAGAGAAAATAATTAAGTGACTGGTCTTGAAGGCTCATCATAGTGGCCGTCTGAGGTCTGTGCTGCAGTGACAGAGGCTGTCCACCACGTGGCACCAAGGATTTGCTTAACTCTTGGCTCCCCAGCTTGAAGGCCATTTAGACTCCCCTCCTTGTAAACCTTGGCGCCGCTGCTGCCGCGCCCTGCGTTCTGGTTCCTGACTTCCTCTGCACCCACCCCCCAGCGCAGGCACTGATGCTCTGTATTGACATCTCACCACATTCCACCTGCAGTGGGAACTCGGGCTGTTGACGTCTCCCCCCATGGGACGCTTCTTGAGAGCAGCCCGAGCTGTGTTTACTTTCAGCTCCTATTACCTATTCCTTTAGTATTTCCTGCAGTGCCGGGCACAGCGCCTCTGAGTTGCATTCTTGAGTGAGCATCTCTGGTGATCCGTGGGCTGGTTGTGTCCTCCATCGGGTTCACTGCGGTGTGTGTGCTGGTCTGTGGGGAACACGCATCAGTGACTTGTTGGAGGGGGTTATGTAGGTTGTGCAGTTCCGTAAACCTTACTCTAAGCCGCACCCTGACCAACCGCCTGTACTGATTCCAGGACGGCTCATCACAGAGCTCGCTGCTTCGGGCGGGTCTTCCCCGCGCCCTGTGGTGGGTCATGGCGGGGCCTCCCTGCGTGTAAGCAGACGGCCTCAGGGCTGTGGGGCTGTGCGTGTGGGTGGGAGCTGGGGAAGGCAGAAGCGAATCCTCCCCAGCTCTCGTCCCTCTGTCTTAGCTGGGCTCCCGGCGGGGCCTGCCCGAGTTGGCGGTTTGGGTCGGGAAGGGCGGGCCTGGGAGGACAGGAGCTCCACGCTCCTGTTGTGGGGTTGTGTCATTTTATTGGAGGCCATTAAGGAAACGGATGTTCACGTTTTCTTCTTCAGAAAACAGATAATGGCTCTTAGGCCAATTGGAAGGAAATTTGAACAGGTTTCATAACAGTGTTATTTCATTATTACAGCCAGCCTACACAGGCGACCAAGATGTTTCCAGGCCTGACCGTGGCTCTGGCTGCTTCGTTGTGTGGACACCTTTCCAAAGTGTTAGATTTGACGACACGTTCAGGAGTTGTGTGTTTGATGGCAGACCCGAGTGTGCAGAGCTCTGAGCAGACGGCGTTTACATTTACCTAATGTAATTAAAAAAAATTTTTTTTAAGATTTTTGTTTTTTGCAGGGACCATTTTAGAGTCTTCATTGAATTTGTTTCACTACTGTGTCTGTTTTCTGTTCTGGATCTTTGATTGAGAGGTATATGGCTCTTAGCTCCCTGGTCAGAGATTGAGCCCACACCCCCTCCATTGGAAGGCTGAGTCTTAACCACTGGACCACCAGGGAAGTCCCTGTCTAATGTAATTTTAAAAATAAGCCATAGTCTAGGTGATACTGAAGATATTAATAACTCATGTGGTGTGTCTGGCTGCTTCTTGAAAGGCTATGTGTTTAGCTCCCTAGTGAATTTGATAAACTGAGGCCGTATTTTTATTTCCAGAGCTGGGAATTCCTAAGCTGGCAGTTTTGACTACTGAATGTTAGCACCGAAAGTTCTGATTATGAGACAAAGAGGAGGCTATGACTTTTCTTGTCCATTGAAACACCCAGGACTCACTCCTGGCATTGCTTTGTCCTACAAAGAGAGCAGAGAATGGGAGCCCTGGTCTTTGGGGTGACCTTACTTTAAAGATGATCAGAATCTACCTGTTAAATGCTCCTCTTCTCTGAGAATCTGTCTCGGTTTATTATTACCTTTGGCAGTTGAATTTAAATCCATTGGGGTGGGGTGGAGTAGCTTGTTAAGTGCATTTTTGGAAATGCATCTAGAAGTCTTTTCAGGAAATATTTGGGACTTGCTTCCTTGGTGTCTCAGATGGTAAAGAATCCACCTGGAATGTGGGAGACCTGGGTTTGATCCCTGGGTTGGGAAGATCCCCTGGAGGAGGGCATGGCAACGCACTTCATTATTCTTGCCTGGAGAATCCCATAGACAGAGGAGCCTGGCGGGCTACAGTGCATGGGGTCTCAAGGATTCGGATACGACTGAGGGACTCAGCACAGCACAGTGCAAATTGGGCTTCCCAGCTGCCATTAGTGGTAAAGAACCCGCCTGCCAGTGCAGGAGACATGAGAGACATGGGTTTGATCACTCAGTCGGGAAGATCCCCTGGAGGAGGGCATGGCAACCCACTCCAGTATTCTAGCCTGGAGAATCCATGGACAGAGGCGCCTGGCAGGCTGCAGTCCGTGGGGTCGCAAAGAGTTAGACACGACCGCAGCGCCTTAGCACACACGCATAGCGCACATTAGCATTGCTAATACGAGTGCCTTGTTCACAGGTGATCGGCGAGGACAACGTGGCAGTCCCCTCCCACCTGTTCAAGGTGATCCTGGCACGCAGAAGTGCGGGGTCTGCTGAGCCCCTGGCCCTCGGGGCCTTCGTGGTGCCCAACAAGGCCATTGGCTTCCAGCCCCAGTTAAGTGAGTTCCAGGTGAGCCTGCAGGACCTGGAGAAGCTGTCGGGACTGGTGTTTTTCCCGCAGCTGGATAGAGCCAGTGGCGTCAGGAACATCTGCTCGGTGGACACCTGTAAGCTCCTGGACTTGCGGGAGTTCACCCTGTACCTGAGCACAAGAAAGGTGGAGGGGGCCCGATCGGTAGTCAGACTGGAAAAGGTCATGGAAAATCTTCGGGACGCAGGCATTGAGCCCGACGAGTACTTCATGACTCGCTACGAGAAGAAACTGGAAGAACTCCGAGCTCAGGAGCGGTCAGGCGTCCTGGGGGAGAAGCCCTCGTAGTTCTCGTCTCAGAAGCGTGTCGTGGTCTCTAAGGAAGCGGGTGTGGCCTCTTCGGGATACTGTGTTTTAGCGACTCCTGTTCTTAAAATGGTGGAATCCTAAATTTCAGACCAGATTTCTCCCCAGAAGGTGAACGATGTCAGATTTTTCGGCTGGCACAGTATTTGACACCGGAAGTGATTACATAAGGAAGCTGCTACCACCTGCAGATCACGGGCTGGTCTCCTGTCGGGTTAGCAGGAGGGCTGTGTCTGCTGGACGGGTCCCTTCGGAGGTGTTGGATGTGAAGGTGTGACATTTTCTGTCTCCAGGTTGTACCGTGTCTTTGTATCTGCTCAGCCTTCTTGGAGCCCAGTATTATTTACATGTTTTCGTTAACTAAGACGTGAGTTGGTCTGATGCCTCTGTGCGTTATCCTGACCACACGTGTTGTGTATTTCTCTCTCTGTCTCGGTCCTCCTCTCGTGGACCCACTGTTTCTCCTCTTCTGTCATGTAGACGCCCCAGCACCTACGTTTTCTGCTCACCTAGTGGGTCGTGTATACAAAGCTCAGTGCTTTTCATGTATTATCCTGATACTACCCTCTGAGGGAGATGGGCACTGTCCTCGTTTTACCCACGAGGAAGCTGAGACTTGGAGAGCTTAAGTGTTTTGCCCAAAGTTCATTTTCCCAAAGAAGTAATCCACAAGGAAAGAGGCACCCAACACGGGGTATGTTAAAGTCTTCTCTGACACAGAGGCTTTTGATTAGAAAAATGTTCTTCCGTGGGTGTCTATGACCCTGGAGACTGTTTGGTAAGAGGGTCTGGTTTCTTGTCTGCCATCCAGCCAAAGAGACTTGAGTGTCTTCTGATTTGAACCTTCCTTAGTTCTTTGGGAAGAAATAGTCACAGGTGATTGACTGAGACGTCAGTGCTTTCTGCAGTTTATCAGAGTCCCTACTTGCCTTCAGAAATGCGGTTCTTCTAAGTGACTGGCTGGTGCCAAATCCATGTGTTTGTTGCTTTCCAGATGGGCCTTTTGTTCCTGAGATTGAGGGACCTAATAAGGGTCTGTGCCCCCAGAGTCACCAACTTGTGGCCTGAGCACCTTTGTGCTTGCTTGTCTACGTGGATGGCAGAGGGCAGGTGGTTGGGCCAGCGACCCAAAGACAGCTAGCAGTAGGGAAAGCAGTAGCTGTGTTTCTGAGCCAGGCCTCTAGTTTGGGATTTATGTGGGATCCTTTCATGGGCTGTCATCAGCGTAGGCAGTAAAATATCTTAAAGTAGCATACGGGCACTTATCTGACTGTGTCCCATCACTGCTGTCTTTCCAAGTGGTGCTACCAGAACAGTTTTGGTGGTATTGATGTGTATATCTCCAGCAGAAATGCCAAGATGTTAAGATAAAGGCACGAGGGATTTCCCTGGTGGTTGAGCGGTTGAGGATCTGCCTGCCAGTGCAGGGGACATGAGTTCAGTCCCTGGTCTTGGAAGATGCCACGTGCCATGGAGCAGCGAAGCCCGTGCCTGAGCGCCTTGAGCCCGTGCTCTGCGGGGAGGGGCCTCCGCAACGAGGAGCCCGCACACGGCAACGAGGGGTAGCCCCCTCTCACCACAGCAAAGACTCAGCACAGCCAAGAATAAATAAAATTATGTTAAAGGAAAAGATAAAGGTAAGATGATAATGGTAGATCTTGTTCTGCTTTATTTGGGTAAAAAAGAAAGAAGTTGGGAGGGTCAGAATACCCCAGCCTGATTAATACCGGCCTCTCTTAACACACTGTTGCCCATTAGCTTGTGCCTCTTTTTCTTCTTAGGGAGAAAGAACCAAAATGTCACTGTGAAACCAAAAAAAAATCTGTTACTTTCTCTCCTCATCGGAGAGGTGAAAGGATCTGGGTGTTTCTCCAGGAGCCCGAGGGCGGCTCTGGGGGAGAGGTCCTGCTGCCCGTCTTCAGGGGTGAGGCCCCATCCGATGTCCCCTGGGCCCGTCACCATGCTGTCCTCCCACGGGAATTTCCATCGGACATGGGGTTATTCCCACACCATTCTCACTCCTGTGTCTTCACCTGGATGGTAGAGAATCTTGATTTTTAGATCCGTCCAGTGTTCTAACACATTTTAGAATGTAATGAGAAAATGCTAAAAATTTTCTAATTAGAAAATTAGTCATTAGAAAACATGTTAGAAGATGCTACCTGGTTGTTGTGGAATATAGAGATAGCTCCTCATACTAAATGCATATAAATATATAAAATGTGCTGTCTCCCAGCCCTCATTACGGTATGTAAAAGTTGTGTTGGTATACCACAAGTGATGCCTGAATGTTTTCTCCACACTCCCATTAAGAGTCCCTCCAAGACAAATTTTGAAACGTAAGCACTGGGTAGAGCTCAGGACTTTGCTCTGAATCAGATCACTTCCGCCTGCCCCGTGGGAACAGCTGAGAACTGGGGCTCACCCGCAGCAGAGCCCCAGGCCAGGCGTATTCCCCCTCACCACTGACCTGAGCTGATCACCGCCCAGCCCTCCTCGGCTCCTGTGAGTATTTGGGCTCCTGTACCTGGGACTCTGCCTTCCGCCCGATACACCCAGGGAGCCCCTGGTGCTGCCGGGGGAGAAGGAGCAGGCTGGGGTCTCTGCTGCTGAGAGCCCCCCTGGGGGTGAGGGACCCACTCCCTAATCTCTCTCCACTCACAGTGACATCTTTATTTCGAGGCTTCAGGCTCTTTGGTCTGTGGACTGAGACTGTTTCACCAGTATCGGGGGTGACAAGGGGGGCCTTACGCCCGCGGCCAAGGTCGGGTGGGCGTGCGAGCCCCTTAAATGCCTGCCAGCGCCTCGGGCCTCGGGCCTGGGCCTCACACTGCAAACCTCGGCCCCTCCTTCAGGACGCAGACTGGAGCCCAGCAGGACAGGCCGAGTCTGACCGTGCGGGAGCTTCCCGCGGCCGGGCTCAGCCTGCAGCCCTGCCCTAGGAGAGGCCGTGAGTGTCCCGCGTGCTCCCTGCCCTCATCCCCGTGAGCCCGCGTCTGTCGCTGGTGTCGGCGTGGCGCGTCTCGGGTTTCCCATCAGCAGCCTGTCCCGACCAGGGCCTGCTGCGTGTTCCCTGCTCATCCCAAGTCCACCGTGTCTGCCCTTGCCCTTTATGGGCCCTCAGTCTCCTCCTTGATGGGTTCTCTGATTCATTCTGGGGGAGCTGGTGAGGGCTGGCCTCACGTCAGCCGTGGGACCCCCGCCCTTGCCTGTCTCCATGCCCAGCCTCTCCATCCCGCCTGCTGTGCTGGATGTTGTCATGGAGACGACCTATCACAGGATAGCATAGGCCCCCCACCTGTAGGGACCGACCCTTAGGTCAGAGCGCTGACCAGAGGCACTGCACTGTGTATAATTTGGGGCAGGGGAGATTGGAGATTAGTTGGTGGTTGGATGGGCTTTTTTCGTGTTCCTGAACTTGACAGTTTGGCCAAGGACTGGTTTGCTCTGAGACCACAGCACCTTTAGGGATCACCGTGACCTAATGCATTTGAGTTAATTTCAAGCCTTCAGAGAAGTTGTAAGTACAGTGAATGTCCTCTCCCTCGATGTCTGTGTCTCATTTGCATTCTTTTCTTGAACCATTTAAAATTGTATTAAAAAAATAAGTTGTAGGCACAGGACTTTCTTTTTTTTAATTGAAGCATAGTTGATTTACAGTGTTGCATTAATGTGTACTATACAGCTGAGTAATTCAGTTACACACACATATATTTTTTATATTCTTTTCTATTACAGTTTATCATAGATACTTAATATAGTTCTTTGTGCTATGTGGTAGGATGTTGTTTATCCATTCGGTTTATATTAGCTTACATCTGCTAACCCCAAGCTCCCAGTTTATCCTTCCCCCAGCGTCCTCCCCACTGGCAACCACAGGTCTGTTCTCTGTGTCCGTGAGTCTGTTTCTGCCTCATAGACTTTTTTGCATTGTCTTTTAGATTCCACATACAAATGATATCATGTGGTGTTTGTTTCCCCATTCTGATTTATTTCACTTAGTATGATAATCTCTAGTTGCATCCACATTGCTGCTGATGGCATTACTTTGTTCTTTTTATGACTGAGCAGTGTTCTGTCGTACATGCACCACATCTTCTTTATCCATTTCTCTGCTGAGGGACATTTGGGTTGTTTCTGTGTCTTGGCTGTTGTGAGTAGTGCTGAATTGAATATTGGGGTGCGTGTATTGTTTCAAATTTTGGTTTTGTCTGGATATGGTGTGCCTTTGGTTTTGCCAGCAAGTGTTTGACACAATGGCAAGCGCTTCTTCATTTTGATTCCATCTAATAGCCTCCTAGGGAAAATTCTGGGAGACTGGTCAATCTGTAAACCTGCAAATAAGGAAAAGATAACTAACATCATGTGGTCACAGTATTCTTTAGGTGGAGAAAATTGGTTGAAACTGTTTTTAAATTCCAAAACTGATCCTTTCTGCAAGTACAATTAGAGAAAACTGACTTGATTAAACAGAACACTGACCCCTGAGAGAACAAAATTATTCTTAGCAGAAAACTTGAAGTAAACTCTTGCCATGTCCTTGAAGTACAAACACAGCCCGCTTTGCCTGGGACTTCAGCCTTGAGTTCAATTGTTAGAACTTCAAGTCAAAGGGGGAAAAAGGAGGGAAGAAAAAGGATCCTTTTAAAATCAAATGTGCAAATTTGACTATTGTGACTATTATTCATAAACTGATAAATTTAAGTGCAGTGACTGAGTCAAGAAATACAAAAAGATTTTTAAAAAATGAGATCTCTGTCTGGATGTATTTATGTCGGAGTATGTGTCTGAATAATGTTGCTGAAGTTAATTTGTACATGAGCTCTATTTAATTGGCTTAAAGAAAAGTGTTTACAAATGAAATCTGCAATTACCTACTTTTGCAAGAGGGAAACTCAGGATAGTTGTGTTCATTAGACTCATGTCTTGTACCACTTTGAGAAAAGAAATTGTAGTTTGAAAAAAATGCCTGTTTTTAGAGG